TCACGAGTCCCAAAACACGAGTCCAAGTCGAGTCCGACGTCTTTTGAGCAGGAGTCCAAGTCAAGTCTGAAGTCTCTGTGTGTGCGACTTAAGTGCGACTCGAGTCCGAGTCACAAACTCGAGTCCCCATCTCTGCCTTGGTTTTCTCAACATTTAAAAGAAGCTTTAGTTCAGAGAGCTGAGCCTGAATAATGTTAAAAACAGCCTGTAATTTAACAACAGCCTCGTTAATCGAGGGACCTGCACAGTACATCACGGTATCATCCGCATAAAAATGTAAGGTTGCTCCTTCGACATTTTCACCTAAACTATTAATATAGATAGAGAATAATAGCGGACCTAAAACTGAACCTTGTGGTACACCATTAGTGATGTTTAACCACTCAGAAGACAGCCCATCAAAGTGAACACATTGGGACCTTTCAGAGAGGTAGTTTACAAACCACCCCACTGCATGGCTGGACATGCCTATACTGACCAGCCTCTGCTTCAAAATGCGATGATCGACGGTATCAAACGCTTTGGATAGGTCAACAAATAGAGCTGCACAACTCTGCTTATTATCTAAAATACTCGTAATATCATTCACCACTTTCATTGTGGTAGTGATGGTGCTATGTTGCTTTCTGAAGCCTGACTGATGTTTAGACAGGATGTCATTTGTACATAAAAACTCCTTTACCTGTTCACTCACTAAGCGTTCAAGAACCTTAGCCAGAACTGACAATTTAGAGATAGGTCTATAATTGTTTAATAAGGTGGCCTCCCCTCCTTTTAGTAGTGGCAGGACATAAGCTGACTTCCATACTTTTGGGATTTTGTTCGTGCTGAGAGAGAGGTTAAAAAGAGTAGTGAGAGGTGGAGCAATAAAATCTGCAGCTATCTTTAAAAAGAAAGGTTCTGCGTTGTCCGGACCAGCCCGCTTTTTAGGATCTATCTTGGATAAGGCTTCATGAACAACATTGACAGTAAAAGGAGTAAAACTGAAAGGGTTTTCCAGACCACATTGTTCAGAGTCACCGACTGTGGTGTTCACAGAAGCAGAATTAGAAACAGAGAGCCACAGGATACAAAATGCTCATTCAAACAATTTAACATGGTGGCCCTGTCCGATATAGTGCCAGATACTGTGGTAAGGCACGGAGGTAGCTCATTACGGATATCACCGGTGGATATCGATTTTATGGCTTTCCAGAATGTTCTAGGGTTGTTCAGGTTCTTTGTGGTAACTGACAGATAATACTTAGATTTAGCACTTTTGACATGTGAAGTGAAGCTATTTCTTAGCTGCCTAAAACGCAGCCATTCTACCTCTGAGCCTGATTTCCTAGCCTTTGCCCAGGCCTTGTTTCTCTCATGTAGGAGACTGGACAGATTAGCAGAAAACCAAGGATTGTCTCGTCCCTTCACTCTAAATGTACGCAGGGGTGCATGTCTATCTATAATTTCCATAAAACCAAGATACAAATAAGACCATGCAGTCTCAACATCAGCACACAAATCGATTTTTCCCCAATCAAACCCAAACAGATCATGCACAAAACCCTGCTCCACAAAATGTTTCATGTCTCTCTTGATGATAATACGAGGTTTAACCTTTTGGACTTTTGTGTCCCTAATTGTGGCTACAACACAGTGGTCACTCAGATCATTCGCAAATACTCCCACAGCTGAGTATTTATAGGGAATATTAGTTAGAATAAGATCAATTAGGGAGGATTTATTTGGGGACTTAATATTAGGGCGAGTAGGACTGTCAACAATCTGAGTAACATTTAAAGAGATACAAAGGTTTTTAAAATCCTCTGACACTGTAGTTAACCAGTCCCAGTTAAAATCTCCAAGTAGCACTATTTCCTTGTAGTCTAGTTGCGATAAAAGATTTGCTAGTGAAGACAAGGAGTCTTTGACAGCTGAGGGGGGTCTGTAACAACTCACTACCATGACCTGTTGACCCTTTGCCGCCCACTTCTATATTTAAGGCTAAAAATTCAAATTGCTTACTGATAGATTTGGAAACTAATGTGGATACAATGAACTTATTCTTAACATAAATGGCAACGCCACCACCTTTATTAGGCCGGTCGGTACGATACACATTATAACCATTTAAGGCAATGACAGAGGCCAAAATAGATTTATTTAGCCATGTTTCTGATAAAACGTGACGTCAGCGTCAGTCGAGCTCGCCCAAATATGGACAAAATCTAGTTTACCTAACAGACTGCGCACATTCAAGTGGATGAAACCCAACCCAGATCTAGCTTTAAAATCAGCAGGAGTAGCGATCTGACTACTACTACTGGGCGGACCAGGGTTAGGTTGTACATTTCCTGACAGTAATAACAACAAAAACCAGGCATCTTTTCCTCTTAAACGACACAAATACATTGTCATCTACTTTAGAATCACCGGAAAAGTCTGCGAGAGTGTGATTAGAGCTTAAGAAGCAGTCCTGAAGAACCATCATCGCAGGAAAACAAAAAAGACAAACATATTTTGTCGAGCAAATTGACTACATTTGAATACAGATTTAAGAAATATCAGTTTTTGAGCATGTCATAAGCATGTTTTGTCTTGACTACATTACAACTATATTATAATAAAATAATATGGTATTTATATTATTGAATTGATTATGATTATTATTATTAGTAGAAGTAGTTTATTTGCATTAATTGTATTTGAATATTTTTGAGGCTAGTATTTGGCAGGAAATGCAGACGTATCACCTGTAAACGCACAGTGAACGACATACATGCACATTTACCATTTACCTCACTGTATAAAAAAGTAACTCTGTTGATAATAATAATAATAAACAGGAATTATATTTGCAAAGTAGCCTACTTTGTTTCCAAAAAAAATGTGTTCACTCCTGTCGGTGGGGGGGGGGGGGGGGCTCATCTCACAATGTCGCTTGGGGCCCAAAGTTGTCCAGGGGCGGCCCTGATTATACCCTATAATCAAGACCAGGTCCACTGTCTGGCTCATTGTTCCGGACATTCCTCTTCGGTTCAAGATTATTTTACAGAAAAGACAGAGAAACACTATACAAAATAGGGGGAGAGTAAAAAGTGGTCACACTATGAACACTCAGTAAACCTAGACCTCCACCAATGCTGTTTCCCTGCAAAAGAAAGCTTGTATTTGCCCATTGATAAAGATTTGCTCCTTAATTCAACGGGTTCCCCCTTGCCCAATGATTCACTCTCCCTACAAGTATCATAAAAACCAAGACAGTATTTTTTCAAAGAACCCAACAATTAATTCATTAAAAAAACACAACCTCGTCATAGGCCAAAATTGCTAAAGGCATCAATACTTTTCTGCCAAACTGATTTATCAGGTATTCAAACAATAAATCTTACTTTTTAATTAGCATTAGCTCTCCGGCTATTCGATGATCTCAAAAGACAAGGATGCCAAATCAATCAACAACACTAAATCTTTCCAATACAATTAATTGTAATGATGTTATTAAAAGCTTATAGCTTATAGCTTATAACTACAGGGGTCCCTCAGGGCTCTGTTCTTGGTCCCCTCCTCTTCTCCCTGTACACAAACTCGCTCGGATCAGTCATTAGCCCGCATGGTTTTTCTTACCACTGCTATGCTGATGACACCCAATTAATTCTGTCCTTTCCCCGCTCAGAGACCCAGGTCGTCGCACGCATCTCTGCTTGTCTAGCTGACATCTCTCTGTGGATGTCTGCTCATCACCTCAAACTCAACCTTGACAAGACTGAGCTGCTCTTCCTTCCGGGAAAAGATTGTCCCACTCTTGACCTAACAATCAACATTGGCACCTCTGATGTTTCCCCGAGTCAGACTGCAAGGAATCTGGGTGTGACCCTAGATAACAACCTGTCCTTCACTGCAAACATCGCTGCTACAACCCGTTGCTGCAGATACACGCTTTACAACATCAGGAAGATACATCCCCAGCTGACACAGAAAGCGACTCAGGTTCTGGTCCAGGCTCTCGTCATCTCACGCCTAGACTACTGCAACTCCCTCCTGGCTGGTGTACCTGCATGTGCCATCCGACCTCTGCAGCTCATCCAGAATGCAGCGGCTCGTCTGGTCTTCAACCTTCCTACATTTTCCCACACTACTCCGCTCCTACGCTCGCTTCACTGGCTTCCGGTAACTGCTAGAATCCACTTCAAGACACTGGTACTTGCTTACCATGCTGCGAATGGATCTGGCCCTTCGTACATCCAGGACATGGTTAAACCGTACACCCCAGCGCGTGCACTACGCTCTGTATCAGCCAAACGACTCGCTGCGCCCTCGCTGCGAGGGGGACCCAAGTTCCCAACGGCAAAAACACGTGGGTTTGCTGTCCTGGCTCCAGGATGGTGGAATGAGCTCCCCATTGACATCAGGACGGCAGATAGCTTGCACATCTTCCGGCGCAAACTGAAAACTCATCTCTTTCGACTCCACTTCGAGCGATAGAATTATTAACGAAGCAATTTTATACTAATAAAGGACTGGCTTTTCTAAAGCCAGTTGAGTAGCACTTGAAATGTTTTTGCTCTATGAAACCTGATGTACTTTTATGATTCTGTTTTCTTCAAGTTGTATTTTGTTGGACGAACGCACTTATTGTAAGTCGCTTTGGATAAAAGCGTCAGCTAAATGCAATGTAATGTAATGTAATGGCTCAGTGTGTGTTTCTGCTTTAAAACAACTTGGGAAAGCAGTGTGTGTTCTTGGCTTCTTTGACCCGATACTCCTTACACGCACTCCTGGAATTGTGTTGACCATAGATCTAATCTAATGAGATGTTTAAATTAAGGTCAACCTATGTCATCTGTTTTGGTTGGTGTACGAATGTTCATCTGTAATAATGCTACGTTTTTATTCACCTTCATTTAGTCAAGGTGTTCGCCTGACATAAAACTGTTTGCAATCAGAGTTCGATATGCATTAAAAAAGAAATGCAGTTAAATGTGCTCAGTATGAATTCATTATTGCTTTCTCTCCTGCAGGGAGGACCTGGATGTGAATACTGCAGAATAACCAGAGCTGATGTCAAGACAGCTCTGGGCTTTAACTCTTTTAAAGAGTTTGGAAGTAAGTCGGGATGCACGAGAACCCAGTGCCTACACATACAAAGAATGCAGTGGGAAACTTTGTTGAAGCCTATTATATATTATATATATAGGTATATATTATACCTAATTGCAGAAACAGCTTTTTGCAGCAGTAAGATGCTTTAACCTCAAGCTATTTACCCTGCAGGACATTTACCAAAAGCTACTCACATAATTATATGTATAATGCAACCCTTATTATGTTTGAACAAAGGCCAGCCTAATACTTACCTAACCCAGTAAGGATGTTGCCAGTTGTCATCACTCAGATAATAATATAGGAAAGCAAAGTGCATCAGTCTACTGTATGTAATAGATTAAAAACAAATTGTGCATAATGTTAGATATGAATTAAACTTCACCCTATTTTATTTGCAATGATAAACCACATTTTAATTAATTAAGCTAAGCTAACGGTGTATCTTCTGTCCACTGGGTTGGTCCATTAGCTGGTTGGTGACTTAAATCTCTCAACTATTCGATGGAATACAAATACAATAAATCATATTCTATAGAGCCCGTAAGGTCCTGCAAGAATGGTAATATTAATTGTAACTTTAGGGATGCCCAGACTTTCACTTAGCTAGTAGCTAGCAATGCTCGGGTCCAAATTGTCTGTATCCAATACTGATCAAATACCAACATAACTGTATAGTCCCATAAGGCTAAGAAATACTTTGTTTGATGCTAAGTTGATAATGTTAGCACGATAATGATAGGTCAATGTAAAATAACAAGGTCAATGTTTCTTGTTGTTATGTTAGCATGCTAACGCTAGCAATAACAACCTCACAGAGCGTTGTGCAGGGTTGCAAACTACAGTCTTGCTTACATATCTTTCACATTACATAATTTCCAGAAGTGTATGCTAACTTAAAATCCTAACTGAAAATATCTGAGACACTTGTATCCTCACTTGGCATGTATTCATCCATTGTTATTTCTCCTCAGGCTGTATTCCCTGGCCATGTTTTGAGTTGCTAGGAAAAAAAGACCCACAAATCTGTCGGCACTACGTCCACGGTCCAAATAATGTGGAGGTTGAATTTGTAAATGAACCGAACTCAGAATCTGACACCATAGTTGTCTCCTGGAAGCCCAGCCACTATGGTAGGTTGACATGGACTAAGCCCATTTCTGTAAAGAACTTATGGTAGTGTCAACAATTTGTATTCCATTTGAACCGTGCAGTGAATTAAACCTATGATGTTTGACAATGTAAATGCATGTTGAGAAATAATATTACAGTTTGTCATAGGCTTATTTTACCATTTTGTTTGTTTGAAACCACAACAGGCCTTCTGATTAGCTGGAAGGCAAAACATTTTTAAATATTCATGAAGTCGTTTTTGAAGTCTCTAGGCAGTTTTGAAACTCATATATCATATTAGACACAAAGTGCTTGCCTTCCCCTAAAGGAATTTTTGTCAGGATTTGACATGCAACATTTATTTCAGGTGAAATAGATTGAGTGTACTGAAAGGTGATACACGATGTGTCACATTATGAGAATGCTTCAAAGATTATGAGACAACCTGTTTGATCATTGTTGTTGGTATGACAGATGAACACGTTCTTGTTGGAACATTAATTGACCATGACTTGAACAGGTAGCACATTGTAGAACACACATATATTTGACAATGAAGTATCAACAAGCAAGTTGGGTAATCGAGACCCTGTGAGGCTGAATTAACTCTGTCCGTTTGGTGTTTGATTTAGGGATCGCCTTCCTGCGAGGCTTTCAGGTGTCACTCCAGGCTCTGGGAGGGTCAAGTTTTGCCTGTCAGCTCTTCCTCTTCCACCGTAACCTCTCCCTGCCTGCTTCACAATCCAAAAGGGTAAGCAGGGCCTCTTGCTTTCACCGTTTTCTTTCTGGTATGTTGTTTTTGACAAAACAAGTTCTTGTTACAAACAGAGTTCCCACGGCTTTTACCAACAACATTGCTCCAAGCTTATTTCCAGTAAACATTATAATGTTTATATAATTTTTTAAAACATTTACTATTGATTGACTTGATTCTGTATTTAAAGCACCAACGATTTCTAGTTTAATAATTACAATTGTTTTTTTAAAGTATTATTTATTGACTTTACTTGTTTTTCATGTTGTCTATACATGTGCTTTTTCCAAAATAAAACATTTAACATACTTTATACATATAAAACAAAACATTCCTTATTGCATGCCTTAAATGTGAAGGCAATATTCAATTTTTATGTGCAAAAATGTACCATGTTGTATATTTCTATTTAGACGTTTTGACGAAAGGACACTCAGATCCTCCAATGCCTTTCTTTTAGAAGTACCTAAAGTATTTCACCAGACATCTGGTGAGGCTGCTTTCTGTTTGTATGTCCCCAAACTGTGGAAAAGCCTCCCATTAGATCTTAGAACAGCAAGTAAATTAAAGACCTATCTTGTAAATGTGGCTTTTAATTTGAGTGGTATCACTGTTCATGTTTTATTGTTTTATGGTGCTGTGATACAATTATTTCTGTTTGTTCATAACTTGTTTTTAATTATGTTCCTCACTCTTTATTTTGTAAATTTTTTTTTACCAGTGAGTTGATTATAAAACTTCCCCACTCTTATGAAATAATTCCCAATAGGAGAAACACAAGTGCACGGTGTCCTTCATTATTTGAAAAATGATGACCTGATGATCCTCCCTAAAGTATCTGAAAATATGTCTTAATGCGAAAAAGCTGTGGGTTTTACACTAAAGGTCATCCAACGGTTGTAAAATTTGCAGAAAGAAAGCCAATTATTTATGTCTCCTTTTGGATTGAAAAATGTCCTTGAGGACGTAGCACATCCTGTACGACCTCACGCACATTGCAGATGGGTGTTCAGAATCCCACACTAGCTCAGGTAGACACACAGGCTCCATAGCAGCAGGTGTTAGTGATAACAATGTAAATACATTTCTGACAGGAGAGGGGACCAGTCTGATTACATATTATTAGTTTTTCCTTGCTTTGACATGGAGAGAAATACATTTTTCGTTATTATTGCACATTACAAGGCAACAGATTGCTGTCCATTTACTTTAAAGTCTTTAACATGTGCAACTATGTTCATACCTTTATATATACAGTCTATGGTGCATATATTTTGTTGAGCGGTCATCATAGAATAAATACAAATGTGTTGAACCAACAAGTTGTTTTTACAGTAAGGGGTCGGGGATACAGGTTACAACGCAGGAGGCGGGCCCCATTCATCCCTTTATGAAAGTTGCTCAGTGGCACATGAGTCCAAAATGAAGCAACTGTAGGTTCATCAAGGGTCTTTTCTTGAAAGAGCATGCACTTGAGTTTTCCTCTCTGCCCAGTCAGATGAATGGAGAGGGAAATTAACCCAGTTTTCGTACTGGGTAGATAATATATAATTGTTTTTATATGTTGATTTACAGATGTTTCTTTCCCAATGTAAGTCATTGTGGGCCAAAAAGACATCACTGACGAACACAGAAGTTTTATTACCACCGTTTGGCCACTAAGGCCATTCCAAAAATCTGCCTTCACGGCCGGCACACTTCCTGGGGGCTTGGAATACAGATGTAAATGAGCTTATAGCTAATAAGCTGTGCACTGTTTTTGCACAACTTTACTGTACTACTAGTATTCTTTTCATAAAAACTATAGGAACTGGGAGATTTCTCCCCTGCATGTCAAATGTTGACAAAATTGCCAAAAGATAATTGTGTATCTGCCATGTGATTTGAAATCTGATCCTAAATGTAGTTCCCATGCTACATCCTTCCACCAATTTTATGAAAATTAGCACAGTAGCAACAAACAAAAATCATGCAATAAATTCCCTCAAACTTAGTAGAAATTAGAATGTGTCTGTCGGGACATGGCTCAGAACCGTAGGGTCGATGGTTCAAGTCCAGATCAGACCAAAGAAATACGGATCGTGGACTGGTAGCTGGAGAAGTGCCAGTTCACCTCCTGGGCCCTTACAAAGAACCATTACACAAGGGATTAAACCCCCTGTGCATGTGGTCGTGGGTATGTCAACAAATGTGAAACCCTGAATTTCTCCTCGGGGATTAATACAAATCTGTCTTTCTTTCAAAGAAGTCCAAATGCAAAAGCTTTCATCATTAAACCAAATGCTCAATCACCTTTCCCCCACCACCATACAAAGATAGGCACTTACAAATACAAGGGGTAATAAAGTTGAAAAGTTTAAGATCACATTCTCCTCAACCATTAACATGCCAAAACTCCACTTATCAGAGAAGTTTGTGTAGCGTGTTGGATGAAACCAACATCATGACCTTTACTTCACTCTGCAGGTGTACAAGTCGGACCCTTTCCCCGGCCTCCCCCTGGGGTCCCAGTATGCTGTTACTGTCATGGCCCTGCCGGTGCCTGAGGAGTGGGAGAGGTTCTACCGCAGCAGGAACTTCTCCTCACGCTGTAAGACCCCTTTAAGCCAGATTTGATCTCAGAAGGCACAAGGAAACTATCCCTGCAGTTTAAAGAGCGTTCGCTGCCTAAGGACAACCTTCCAAACCCGTCCTTGTTGTATTGTGTTTGGGCGTGTGCCTGCCTGTCCGCAGCTAATCTCACAATCTACTGCACACTTCAGCCTACAATTTACAATAGTTATTTATGACAGTATGATTCAGGACCTCCCACGGTTTTTGTGAAGTTGACTGTCTTAAACTGTAATTTACTGCTGCCTCCTATTTGGTAGTGGCCATAAGCGACGTCTTTAGTTGTGGTGTTACCAACTTAAAATCTAGTAATCATCTTAAAGATGATGTAATATGCAAATGTTCATGTTCGTAATTGTATTTTGTGCCTCTACTGTGACATGTTTCCATGCTTTAATGTTCAAAAAGGTCTTTATTTTTCTCATACTGCCTGGGCTGAAACAACTTATTTCACCCTCTGTCTGAAACCAGAGTCCAGTCTTATCTGATTGGTTAGCTGGCCAGCTCTGTTCTAATCACTCAACCACTTGTATACATCACGCACAACGTGTTGGAGTGCTAGCCAATAGATTTCTGGCTTTATCTGTTGTTTTGAACATTGCACACTGAAGCTCAGCGCTAACTTTTATACGTTCTGACTTGGCTCCAAAAACCATTACCTCAGTTTTATCTTTGTTTAATTGGAGAAAGTTCTGACACATCCAGTCATTGATTTGTTCAATGCACTTACTCAGTGTTTGAATTGGAGCATAGTCTCCTGGTGAAATTGTTACGTACATTTGTGTGTCATCTGCATAGCTATGGTAACTTATTTTGTTGTTTTTCATTATCTGAGCCAGTGGTAGCATGTAGATGTTAAAGAGAAGAGGCCCCAAGATGGAGCCTTGAGGAACCCCACATGTCATATTTGTCAACTCAGATGTGTATTTACCTATAGAAACAAAGTTGTTTCTGTCCTTTAAGTAGGATTCAAACCAATTCAGAACTGTTTCCGAAAGTCCCACCCAGTTTTCCAGTCGGTCTAGTAATATGCTGTGGTCAACAGTGTCAAACGCAGCACTGAGATCTAATAATACTAACACTGAAGTTCTGCCACTGTCTGTGTTTAAGTGGATGTCATTAAAGACCTTTACAAGAGCAGTCTCAGTGCTGTGGTTTGGACGAAAGCCTGACTGGAACACATCCAAACAGCTATTTAAATGCAAGAAATTACTCAACTGTTGAAAAACAACTTTTTCAATGATTTTACCTAGAAATGGCAGGTTTGATATGGGCCTGTAATTGTTCATTACTGAAGCATCTAGATTATTCTTTTTTAAGAGCGGTTTAATGACTGCAGTTTTCAGGGCCTGTGGAAAATACCTGAGTGAAGAGATTTGTTTACTATATGAAGTAGATCTGAGGCCATGCAAGGCAAAACATCTTTAAAAAATCCTGTTGGAATAATATCAAGGCAGCAGGAGGAGGATTTCAGAAGTTGAATAATGTCCTCTAGGTTTGTATCATTAATCTGATGGAATTATGTCATGATGTCTGAATTGATGTTAAGTGGACACAGAGACAACACATTTGCTGTTCCTGATGCAGAGGCACTGACTGCTTGTCTGATTTTCTGAATTTTGTCAGTGAAGAAGGAGGCAAAATCATTGCACGCCCTGGTGGATAGAAATTCAGAGGCTACTGACACTGGGGGGTTAGTTAGTCTGTCGACGGTAGCAAACAAGGCACGTGCGTTGTTTTTGTTTTTGGTAATGATGTCAGAGAAGAACGATTGTCGTGCGTTTTTCAATTCCAAATTATAAAGGCCAAGTCTCTCTTTATAGATTTCAAAGTGAACCTGGAGATTTGTTTTTCGCCACCTGCGTTCAGCTTTTCGACATTCTCTTTTTTCTGTTTTCATGCTCATGGCCTTTCTCCATGGAGATATTTTCTTGCCAGACACTTCCTTTACCCTAGTTGGAGCAATGGCATCTATAACATTTTTAATTTTTGAATTAAAATGATCTACTAGCTCATTTACTGAGCTGTTAGCAGGGGCAAGTGTGGAAGAAAAATTCTGAGTAAACATTTCCCTAGTGTTTTCAGTTAAATATCGCTTTGTGGTTACCTCTTTTTGAACATTTTTGTGAACAGAAATAGAGCTCTCAAAGAAAACACAGGAATGGTCAGAGTGCAACATCAGTCACCACAACCTTAGAGATATTCAGACCCTTTGAGATAATTAAGTCCAGAGTGTGCCCCTTATTGTGCGTGGGCTCCGTCACATGCTGAGTCAGTCCATAGCTATCAAGAACACAAAACAGTTCTTTAGCCCCTCTGTCCTGGGGGTTGTCAACATGGATGTTAAAATCACCAACAATGACTAGACGGTCAAAGTCAATACACACTATAGACAGCAATTCAGTAAAGTCATCAAAAAAGCTTGCACAGTATTTGGGTGGTCTATAGATATTTAGGAACAGAGCTCGAGAGGAGCATTTCAGCTGAAGGGCCACATATTCAAAAGAATCAAAGTTTCCATACGATGTCTTCCTGCATTGAATGGAATCATTGAACAGAATAGCAACTCCACCCCCTTTCTTATGCATTCTTTCCTGACTCATAAAACTAAAGTTGGGAGGGGTTGATTCGATAAGAACAGCTGCACTGTTATTTTGTTCAATCCAAGTTTCTGTTAAAAACATAAAATCGAGATTGTGCTCAGTGATAAAATCATTGATTAAAAATGTTTTTCCTGCCAAAGACCCGACATTTAATAAAGCTAGTTTAAGTTTGTTAAACACACTATCAGTCATGTTTTTTATAACAAGCTGTGGCTGACATGGAATCACTGCTAAATTAGATAAACTCACACAAACGTTTGAGTGCTTCCTGTTTCTAAGATGATTCACCGCTCTTAATCTATTACCTATCAACACAGATATCGGCAAAGCTACAGGCAGGCAGGGCCCCGGCATGTCCTGGAAAGAGTTGAGAGTGCCATATGCCCTTGAGCCTGGACCCAGCAAATATCAGTTTGCAGCGTTTATATCATGTAACACTTGCGCTTCTATTGGCTAGCGTTCCAACACATTTAACGTGCTAATGCCCTTTCCATATGATTTTATTTATGTTTTTATTACTTTCTTGTTGGTTTCACTCTCTGTGTTTAGCTGCTGGTTTTTAATTAAATTCCATCTCTTTGTATGCGTTATGTGAATAATAATGCGCATGTCATGATTTTGCAGCATGTGCGGAAAAGAATGGTCTTGAGAAGTGCAAAAAAGGTGAGAGAAAACGTTTCACATTGTTCAATAACTGTAGTTTGGAGGCATCTTGTAAATATTTCTCAATATGATTATTTTGACATGTGTGGTTATAGATTGGTACCCCAAACACATCGAGGTGCAACAGGAAGGGACAGCCATCACCGTGACCTTTAACCTGGCTCCTCCACAGCTGGGCATCAGGAGCTACTTCTCCCTGTGTTACGCTAACAGCATGAAGAAATACACCGACATCTCTCCTGTCAGTCCACAGCTTTAGATTCATGTTTTATTTAATGCATTAATCATTAATACCTTGCTTCTGTGGATTGATTTGTAGACTTTTTTGATAACCGTTTTACCTTAATAATTCCCGTAGAATTTCAAGAAAAACCAGACTCACCACAGCTTTCAGATGAATGACCTTCAAGAAGGAACCAATTACACTTGTGAGGTAAAATCTAATTATTATGACACCTATAGATGTAGATTTGTTGTAATTTAACAATACTTTACAATTTAAAAACGTTTTGTAAGTTAATAAAGATGTGTTTATATTGCAAATATAAAACAGATCTGCAAAAATACAAACAAACATAGACAAATGTACTTCAATTATTGCTAAATATCAATCAATCAATCAATCAACAACTTTATTAATCCCGCAAGGAGCAATTGGTTATGAGCAGCAGCTTATGTCATGTACACAGGCAGGAACATACAGGAAGAAAACACACAGATACACCCGGGAGCACAGATATGGATAATTCCAATTTACACTATAAATAGTTCAAAGCATCACAATAATAAATAAATAAATAAATAATCAAGTTAAAAGCCTTTTCAAGAATTTAAAAGTTTGATGAATGATTTAGAAAAGCGATTAGTCCTTTGATCAGGTAGAGCATATCTACGCCCTGAAGGCAACAGACGAAATTCATGTGAAAGAACATGACCTGGAGAGTTCAGAATGCTCTCTGCTTTCCGCAGAATCTGTTGGTTACAGAAGGAATTTAAGTCTCTCTGTTTCACGCCGATGATCTTGGAGCAGGTTTTAACAATGCTGTTCAGGCTGTTCCTGTCTTTCAGTGTAAGGCTATGGAACCAGCAGATAAAAGAAAAACAAATAAGGCTCTCAATGTGTCATAACACCAGGAAATAAAATTGGCAAGAGCACACTCGTGGCCTGATTCTGAGCCGCTAAGGAGGGACAAGAGGGCGGTATCATCAGAGAATTTAACCAAGTAGCTGTTGTCTTGCATGCTCCTGCATTTATCAGTGTACATTATAAAAAGTAGGGGCGAAAGAACACATCCTTGAGGCGAGCCTGTGGAAGTGATGACAGAGTCAGAGAGGCGTCCATTGACAGACACCTTCTGCTCTCTATTAGTTAGAAAGTTTAAAATCCATAAAACAAGTTGATCGGGCAGTTTAAAATGACATAATAGGCTCTCTACCAGGAGATGCGGCTGCATTGTGTTAAATGCTGAAGAAAAGTCAGCAAACAAAAGCCTGGCATGGGCTTGTGGCTTTTCAAGGTGTTTGTGGAGGGTGTGCAGTATAAAAAAATATAAATGGGCTATTGTTTTGTGTTACTTTGATTTAATAAGTGATTTTAAAATACCAGAATTTAAACAATTATTTTATTTGGGCTATGCTATTTTAAATATTCTTTTGTTTTCGTTGTCTTAAAAGAACATTTCTTGTAGTTTGACAAAATAATTGTAACTTTAGTTCCACTTCTGGCTTTTAAAAAACTTTTTTTATGGAATGTATCACCATATTTGATGTGTGCGTGAGGAACTCCCTCCGATTCTAGCCTCTGCAGACCATTTACATGCACAAAAAGGGAAACCCCCAAGAAGCATAACAGGGCCTCTTTAATATTCTTTATCAAACTGCTAATTCCAAGGTCAATAATAAAACTCGCTCAACATTTCCTGTGTCACAGATTGCAGCTGACCAAATGGACGCAGTAAGGAAAACCTTCAATGTTCAGGTGTTGCACTTCCTCAAAGGTAGGGGAGGCAGTTTTGTTGCTGCTGTGTTCGTATCTGTTATGCTTTCCTGTGGGTTGTTCAATTTCAATTCAAGCTAAATCAATCTCTGCCTTGATTTGTCAGTTTGACTGAATGATCATGTTTCTATAACTCTCCCATCCTCAGCAGTTTCAACACCTCACTCTGTGAGTCCCTCATTGGCTCTGATGCTTCCACTGGGCCTGTCTGTGGCAGTCATATTTGTAGTCCTAGTGGCTGCTCTCATCTGGAAGACCAGGCTGCAGATGAAGAAAGTGTACATTAAACCAGGTGCAAAGACAAACCAAGAACTTTTTTGCATTGCTGGATGCTAATTTAAGGTCAAATAAAATGTGTTTTTTTTTAGTCATGCCAGATTTATTGTTGTCATCCGTTCAGATATAATAAGGCAGCAAGAAGAGAGCGGCACTCAAGAGGGAGTGATGCCTCTGCCCAGAAACAGGCCGACCCCTCCTCGTCTTCTGATTTGCTACAGCAGCTGTGACGGCCCCGCCCATGTTAAAGCCGTCATGCAGTTAGGGGCCTTCATACAGCAGCACATGGCCACTCAGGTATAGAGGACACGACACTACACGGCTTTCCAGTACATTTAGAAGATGCTTTTTTTCCAGGGTTAGGGTTAGACACACACATTTGAACCCTAACCCTCTTCCAATGGGACTTACAATAACTGCATTTGCACCAAAGGAAAACATTAGAAAATGGCTAAAAATAGTAGAAACATTTTTCTTTTTTATCATTTTGGTGGTGAAAATGCATAAAGCATACATTTTTCCATCCTCAGCTGTTCAGTATAATGTTAGTTTTTACTATTTTCTACCAGATTGACATTTTCTAATATTGTCCTATAGTACTAATAACTGCAATTGTCTTGGTTTCCACTACAGTAATTGCTGGTGTATTATGGAGTACTGCAATGTTTGATGCAACGGATCCACTCACATTTTACTAAACATAACCATATGTGAAAATAAAACATATCCCTGGATGTTAGTTTACAGAAAATTATTCATTTTGAATGATTCTTTCTCCAAAATCAACAATTTCATTATGTTAACAAACTGGCATAGGGTTAACACTTTTCAAAATGTGTGAACTTTTTATAGTTATGATCTGGACTACCTTGGTTTAAAAACTAATCTCAGTGAAAGTGGAAAAATAATATTATTTTATGGCAGTTTTTAACACGGAAATATAAAAGCAAATAAACTGTTTTAAAGAGATGCACAAGTCATGGTAATAATAAAAAGTAGACATTTCTGGACATTCTTTTTTAACATCTAACAAAGCCTATGATAATATTGTCCATTATTTAGTTTAATTTGTGTGGTTAAATGGGTTATCCAATCAGTTTGAGGACACTGTTATTTTTTGGTCTTCCTAGATTCCCAGTGGTATTTACTCTATTTTGTACAACACAACTTTAACTCAGTAATCTAACTACAAAGACATTCAAAACCTTTCCAGACCTGGGAGCCTGCAAGGGGGAAAATGTGTACTTTTTATGACTCATTCCTCTACCACTCGATTGTTTCGAGTGATTGTAAAAAAAAATTCGTTGTTGATGTTGCGATTGTAATTGCTGTGATGGAACAACAAGTTCAGACTTAATCTGACAATATATTATTATGGTATTACTCCTCAGGTGTGCCTGGACCTGTGGGACTCTCTGAGCGTGGCTGAGGAGGGCGGCATGGCCTGGCACTGCCGGCAGATCCGGGAGAGTGACTTCATCTTGGTGATATGTTCCTGGGGCCTGAACCGCAGGAGTAAGCCTTCAGAGGGCGATGAAGATGACGGGGCAGACGAAGGACTCCACTATGGCTCTAACGCCTTCTGCTCTAAAGCTGCAGTTAAAGTTATTGGAGAGGAAGTGGGCCACGCCAAAGCCAGAGGCCAGGACTTGTCCAAATACATGGCGGCCATTTTTGATTATTCCGATGAAACTGACATCCCCACCGAACTGAGGCTAGTTTCTCACTACATATTGACACGCGATTTACAGCTGCTTTTCTCCCACCTCCATGGAGTGGCTCTGCACGGGCCGGGGCATTACCTGAAGATAAATCATATATCAGAGGACGGGTTTACTAAGTTACCATCCGGAGCTGCTCTGCAGTGGGCTATTTATGAGGCTCGGATGGAGATAACGGCAAAAAGGCATGACTCTGTGGGAAGTGAAGGGGACTAAGAAGAGAAAAAGGACTCCATGGCTAGAAACTTCCAGGCAAATAGGAGGAGATGTGGCTCAATTCCAATGTGGCCCCTACCAGCTTCTAATCCGTTTCCGTGTGGAGGGTCTGCCAAATAAAGTGCCATTCCAAATCCACTAGTGTGGAGTGGAAGTTATAGAGCAGTGCATTGTTGACGTATTTTTGTAGTCCAATGGGATTTTTCCATTGGATTGAAGAATATCGCAGAAAATAAGATCTGTGGCCAACACATGCTTATGATGCTTAGACATTTTGTTCAGTGGTATAATATGCACATATTAACACCACTCTTTCAAAAGCGTTATTGCAATTACCAGAAGTAAAAAGCTAACGTAAAGTTATATACAAACTTCACATGGTGACATGAACCCACATGTTTAGCTTTATGATGTTTAGTAGTCTAATATGGTCACTTGTTATCAACTGCTATTTTTAATGACACAAATAAGCTTTAAAAGGTATTTTAACACCAGGTATTTGATGTCCTAGAAAAAACAAAACAGTTTTGTTGTGAAGTATGCCACACCCTACAGCTCATTCAATAAGTGAGACTATGTAGGGAGTTCTAGCCGTCACAGAGTGGAAAGGTGAAGGGGTCGCTTTGGAAGTGGGCCGTTGTGAAGGTGACTAATACATCCACATTCCCAGCTAATGTGTACAACATAATATGCTATAGTGTGCCCGGAAGGATTTAAAAAAAAAAAAACAGTAATATGCATAATGGTCAATAAAGCTATCTTAGCCCCACGAATGTATTTGGCAGACATTTTTTTTGTAATGTCATGCTAAATAAAAAAACAGTGTGTTTTTAATATTAACTTTGTACACAAACTAGTAATCTCAAATGTGAGGTTTTGAAGTTATTCTGTGTTAATGTTTTCCTTGAAGTACACATTGTATACTATACATGCATGTTTTTCAGTATTACACAATGTATTAATGCATGTGCATATCATATACATGGGAATGGATGAATAGGTCAAATTATTTTAAAATTAGGCGAATGTGAGGTCACACACTGATAAATGTGAATTGACTTGCTCTTTTTTGTGAAATATTGATTTTATATTATACATCTAATCATTTAATAAAATATGTTTTAAAATAAGTGATTTCTGGCTATCACCTCTGTATCAATGACATGTATGCAGTACCAGTCAAAAGTTTGGACACACCTTATGTTTTTCATTTATTTAAAATTTGTTCTACATTGTACTGAAGACATCAAAACTATAAAATAATATATTATCTAGTAAACAAAAAAGTGTTAAAGAATCCAGAACATGATTTATATTTTGCTAGCTATACTGCAGAATGCTGTGGTAGCCATGCTGGTTAAGTATGCCTTGCATTCTGAATAAATCTCCCTTGCATTCTGAATAAATCTCCAACAGTGTCACCAGCAAAGCCACCCCCCACCACCACCATCACACTTCCTCCTCCATGCTTCAGGGTGGGAACCACACATGCAGAAACCATCCGCGCACCTTCTCTGCGTCTCACAAAGACATGGAGCCAAACATCTCAAATTTGGACTCATCAGACCAAAGTACAGATTTCCACTGGTCTAATGTCCAATCCTTGTGTTACTTGGCCCAAACAATTCTCTTCTTCTTGTTGTTCATCCTCAGTAGTGGATATTTGCAGCAATTGAACCATGTAGGCCTGATTCACGCAGTCTCCTCTGAACAGTGGATGTTGAGATTGTCTGCTACTTGAGCTCTGTGATCATTTATGTGGGCTCTAATCTGAGGTGCTTTAATGTGCGGTTCCTGAGGCTGGTAACTCTGATGTATTTATCCTCTGCAGCAGAGGCAACTCTTGCTCTTCATTTCCCGGGGAGGGGGGGGGTCCTCATGAGAGCCAGTTTCATCATAGCGTCCGATGGTTTTTGCGACTGTACTTGAGGACAGGGACGCGGGAGGGGGGGTGCTGAAAAACGACTTTTTGGCGTTGCAGTTACAACTCTCCGCCAACAGATGGACGATCTGTTGACGGAGAGTTGTAACTGCAACGCCAAAAAGTTCACTAAACAAATCAATACATTATTATTTTGACTTACTATTTTTGAGTTAGCATTTTAGTGTAAGCAGTTAATAAAAAGCTTCACTAAATAATAATGCTACGTTCACACCGGACGCGATGCGAATATTCGCTTCGCTCTAAACGCTCCTATCGCATCGCTCTAGTCGCTCAAGTTTCACCGCGGCTGCCAGCTGTGTTTACTCGCATCATTCAAACAAGACGCGCTGGCTCGGGAGCTACAACTACCACAAAATGAACATATTTTACCGTGATTAAATTGTAATACACGTTTCTAAATTATGCCGACGTAACAACATACTGATACCGGTTAGTAAAAACCATGAATTAATGCTTGACAAGTCTGCAGACAAGACGGCAGGCGAAAAACCTTTTAAAATGCTTGTTTTCTGAATGGAGATTGGGTCGACCAGGCTAAGCTAACGTTGTATATGCTCATTCCACACTCATAACAACGGCCTACAGACATAAATAAACCAGCGACTGTATTCGCCATGACACAGTCTGTGGTTTGTTCTTGTTTAACTTTTGTACAGTTTCTGAACAGATATGAGGAGCTGTGATCTCTGTGTGCTAACTGCTAACAGTTAATGGCTGATGTTTTCTGGTTGAACGTCAGTGACGGCAGGCTGAAATCCTCACCGCTGATTGGCTTCCGCGAGAACGCGTCACGTGAATTTGACGCCCGAGTTGAACAAATTGAACTCTCGCGTTTGACGCGGCCCCCTTTTAATCGCGTGATTCGCGCCGCGTCCACCGCTTCATGCGCGCCGTCGGAGCGAATTCGCTCTGATCGCGTCTCTGCATTGACTTTACATGTAATCGCGCCGCCCCCAAACATCGCATCGCGTCCGGTCTGAACGCAGCAAAAGTGATAATGCGGTGTATGGAGGACGGAACATGACTTAAGTATAAATAAATAAATGTATGAAGAAATACAGGAATAAATAAATTACGTACATAAATACAGGAATAAATAAATAAATACGTAAATAAATAAATAAATACAGGAATAAATAAATGACGAAATAAATACAGAAATAAATAAATGTTGAAATGAATACACAAATAAATAAATAAAAGAATAAATGCATAAATAAATATGGAAATAAATACATCAATGTATAAATAAATAAATGTCGAAAATAAAACAGAACACACGTTATTATTATATATCTTTCATTTATTTCTACATTTACGCGACATACATTTATTTATTTATGTATTTATGTGTCCGTATGCTAATGAGGTGGGCGGTCCTAACCTCAGTCTGAAGCAGGATTCGCCAATTGTTGGAGCCAGGCAGAAGCAATAGATTTGTGGCAAGTCACATCATGTCGAGCTGAGCCAAGTCCTCTATACATCGTTCCACACGAAACTGGACATAATCTTTTGGTTCTCCGTTCTCTAAATGGTCCGCTAATGATCGTAAATGATCTCCAATGGCTCTTAAATCAATATCCATAAATAAACCTTACAACTGTGGATAAACCATGGATGTATAAAGATAAGGGCTAAACAGTAAAGCTCCTGCATTCGAATCAGCGCGGTTATCCAGGCGTTAGTAGTAGAGCCCTCTGCCAGAAATGATCACACACTCCTGTAACCAATCCTGCTTCAGACTGAGGTTAGGACCGCCCACCTCATTAGCATACGGACACATAAATACATAAATAAATAAATAAATGTATGTCGCGTAAATGTAGAAATAAATGAAAGATATATAATAACGTGTGTTCTGTTTTATTTTCGACTTTTATTTATTTATTTATACATTGATGTATTTATTTCCATATTTATTTATGCATTTATGTATGCATTTATTCTTTTATTTATTTATTTGTGTATTCATTTCAACATTTATTTATTTCTGTATTTATTTCGTCATTTATTTATTCCTGTATTTATTTATTCCTGTATTTATTTATTAATTTACGTATTTATTTATTTATTCCTGTATTTCTTCATACATTTATTTATTTATACTTAAGTCATGTTCCGTCCTCCATAGCGGTGTGCTTCTTCTGTTTCAGTGCAGACAAGATCAGGGATGGGAGTTTTGTGAAAGGAGGATTTAAGAACTGGCGAAAGGCAGGGCAAACATTTAGGGAGCATGAGAAGTCCCATCAACAAACTGACAGCATTAAAACGAACACCGATGAATGCACTGCTCTCACAAGCTGTTGCTAAAGACCAAATGACTGCATTTAATATGACGTTATTATACAGGACCAAAGCCCTGAATGTTTTTTCTGTAGCCGCTGACAATTCTCCCTCAATAATATAATACATGAACCGTGCTTTACCTGGACCTCATCATGATGAATTGGAAATGGGGGACCCTGATGTAAACAAGACGAAAGTCTTTCTCTGGTCTGCATCCCCTTAACAATTGTATGTTTTGAGCTGTACTGTACTGTACCCAATATACAAGCTGTTAATAAACTTTTCAATCAATCAATCATGAGAGGACGGCAGAATGTAATTTCCCGTGTTCAGTGAATGCAACAGAGGCAAGACACCAGAGACCAACCAGAGAGTTGCATGGAAATAAACGTGTCTTATTGGCTGACAGCTCTGGCTGACAGGTACCTATCCTGTGACAATGTTTAAACTGTCAGCCGGACTCAGAGTTTTTGAAGATGGACATAAGAAATGTTTTTCTTAAAAAAGACGACAATTCTCAAGTGGTGGCTCACACAACAACCCCAGAGCCACCACTTGAGCCAGATAAACAAGGTATGTAAATGTCAGTAAACTTCCAAGTTATGCGAACATGTAAGCAAAGCATAAATTACAGCTACGTTGACGTTACTTTGAATCCCGAGGGTAAGCTAAACCGTTAGCAAGTAGCTATAGCTAGCCAGAGATATTAAATAAACACTTTGTCATACAATCTAAATGTAATGTTTTTTAGCGTTACTTGGTGATTTCAAAGAAAGCTCTCTGGAAAATGTTGACTGTTCGACATGAAGCTACCTTACAGTAAGTACACCGTTGATCCTGAGTCCTGTCAGTTAAAGTGTTTCATAGTTAGCTTAGCTAAGCATCAACCTAGCACTGAAATATATGGATGTTATGTGACAGTATTTCTGAGAAAAAGTCAGCTGAAATGGTGGCATAGTTGCCACTGCTTTATGTGTCGACAGCATGTTTGAACGTATTTGCAGCAGTAAATGTGGCTGTTTGGCCACTGACGTTGCCATAACAACACCTGCATTTAAATGTGCAACCTCTTTTTGAGACAAATGTTTGCATGGCATTATCTATTATCTATATCCTATTGACAGCTAGTTTCTATGTGAACATTATGAGATGGACAGCCAGAGAGAATACATGAATAACAGTTATCCATAGATCTCTTAATTTTGCTCTAAATGCACCGGATTGATGCTTTTAACTTCAATATTTAATTGCACCTACATTTTCCGGATCGACTGGCCTTCTTTTCTTAAAGTGTCGTTCTTTCCATAATATGGATTACAACAGTAATAGGGCTTTCCACTGTGCACTAACCCCCTACCTCTGCACAACACAACTGATGGTCTCAAACACATTAAGAACTCAAGAAGGCAAGTTATTCCACAAATGGACTCTTGACAAGGCACACGTGTTAATTGAAAACCATTCCAGGTGACGACCTCATGAAGCTGACTGAGAGAAGCCAAGAGTGTGCAAAGCTGTCATCAAGGCAAAAGGGGGCTACTCTGAAGAATCATATTCTGGATTGTTTACACTTTTTTGTTAACTAGATAATTCCATATGTGTTATTTCATAGTCTTGATGTATTCAGTATTAATCTACAAAGTAGAAACAATTAAAAATAAATGAAAAACTTCGAATTTGAAGGTGTGACCAAACTTTGTACTGTTATGTATGAATCTGTTGAGTGTTTTTTGCAGGTAGCTATTGCTGATGATATAGGTTGCCAGGTTGGTGAAAAACAAACTTACTTTCTGTGTCTAAAATAACATTATTAAAAAAAAAGTGATGAACCCTCATCAGACTACATTGCATTACATGTATTTTGAGCGTATTGTTGGTTCGTTAATAATTCATCTTTCCTCACTACTGAAATTGATGGTCCCGTTTTGCGACGTAAGCAGAAGGACCTGGCAACCCGGTCCCGGTTGGAGCACTCCTCCCTGTGAGCTCAGTCAGCTCTGACAGGCAGCGTGGAAAGATGGTGCTCGACTTGGACCAGTTTCGCACCGACAAAGGTGGCGACCCAGAAGCCATCCGTGAGATCCAAAGGAAGAGGTTCAAAGATGTTACACTCGTTGATAAACTGGTCGCTGCAGATACGGAGTGGAGGAAATGTAAGACCCCTGTTATTTCTGTTGTTTCAGTCATAATAGCTAACGTTAGCATGGTGGCTCATGCTAGCGTAGAGTCGGTGTACTTTCTACTGAAGCTAGTTCACGCCAAACTCTATTCAAAAATCTGTCTTTTTATTGTTAGTAGGTGAATATAGCTATCATTTACATTCCATATGGGATATTTGAATACTTCACGCATAATTAGGAATGAAGTATTTTATTCGGCACCTTAAAGTGTTTGTTAAATATTGATTAAAGAGGTTTTCTTTGTATTAATTCACTTCAGACCGCAATAAGGTGACTTTCGCTCACTGAGTTACACTGCGGTGGACTGCGAATCATTTCAGAAAGTAAACTATTTAAATAGTAAAAGCCTTTCTAGGTGCACTACATGTATGCCGTATACACAAGTGGGCATCATTTTAACAGTGTGTACAATAATTTACTTTGTACAAGACCTGATATTTGATTAAAAAAATGGATGAAGCACTCAATGGGGCTAATGTTAGCATGGCTAACACCATTTAACGAATCCAAATGAGCCATGTGGTTATTTTCCAATACGTGAACGGTAAAAGGCTTTAAAATAAATGAACACCAAGCTGTAGTTCATATAGTTCCATATTGGAAGATATGACACAAAAGGGTTTGCTAATGTTGTGTTAGCTTAGCGATGCCGGTAAAGTGAAATCTGATGCAATCCCAGCCTGCAACATGACAAGTCAACCAGACAGGCTTCTGACTCAGCGACTGATTGTATTACATTACATTTCATTTGTTAGACGCTTGCATCCAAAGCGACTTACATACATTCAGTACTGTGGACAATCCCCACATGAGCAATTTGGGGTGAAGTGTCTTGCCCAGGGACACAACGACATGCTGACTGCAGTGGGACTCGAACTTGATATCTCCTGATTCCAAGTCCAGCACACTACCCACTGAGCCACAGCCTCCCATCCCATTGTATCATTACATTTTGCCATGTGTATTTTGTTTAAACGTTTGTATACAGTTGTATCATGGTTTATGATTGCATGATGCAGCATTGCAACAGCTGTCACCAGGTTACTGGTCCTGTCACTACTGCAACACACACACACACACACACACACACACACACACGCTAGGGATGGGAATTTGAAAGCAAATGTATATTCGAATATTCGACCCCCCAAAAAAACGGTTAACCGGTTAACCGAAATGTACATATCCTATATAAAAAAAAAAACATTCAAAGAAAATATTTCCAACACATTTTTTTCAATAACTTTTGGAAATAAATAAATACATGTTCAAATAAGTATAGAAACCAAGTCGAATTTGTCAAATGTATTGAACTGGTGATCACAGTTTGACAGCTATAGGCCTACAGCTTTCATGTGCTGAGGCGATTCACAATCAGGCCAGCTGTAGAGAAGACCCTCAGCTGGACGGAGGTTGTGGGTATAGCAAGGTATAGTATGTATATAAGTTTAATTTGGCATAGTTTGACCTCTACACCGCACTCACTAACCTGGTCGAAATATTTCCACACATTACTCCTTTTTGACGCCATGTCTGTTGTGTAGGACTCTTCTTAGAGTGTAAATAATTACCGGACTATGACTGGTAAAATATGTTGAATACCGGCAAAACTAAATCTCTCCGGTCAAAATGTACTTTGCCGCCACACACGGTTGCCAAGCAGCGCTTATTGTTGTTTAGGCTGGCCACTCATGTGTCGCGAGTGTTGACAGGGGGCGGGGGAGCACGCTCATGAACTGTTGGCGCCGGAACCTCGCAACAGCTGCGGAGCGCATTTGGGCCTAAGATGAGGTTTGAGTCTGCGTGTAGGGAGGGGCAGCAGCCATATCATTGGCTAGAACTAGCTAGATCTGATGGATTTGGACATAAACACGAGTGAAGTATAACCGGACGCGAGAGAGAGAGATCAGCACCTGCAGCTCTGCCCGCTGTGAGGGACCGGTGAGCGGAGCAAAACACACCTTTACGGCCCGTCTACACGACAGGCATCAAAAAATCTTGAAGCTGGGCGTGTCTGAGGCTTGGCGATTTCTCGCGACCAACAACCAATCAGGAATCTCCCGCCCGCCCCCGACATACAAAGCAATAGCAATGTTAAAACGAAGTAAACTGGATATAAAATCCCCAAACAGGCGAAAACCTACCAGTTTCATCCACTGTCTCTGCCACCTCCCTCCATGCCTCGCTCCTCCGGTTTGTATCCCGGTAGATGAACAGAGACTGATCATACAGCACCGGGTGATTCACTACCGCTATAATGAATTTTCCCTCCATTTTTTGGAATATGAGGAAATGACCTGCGTAGTCTCTCCCAGCATACACGCGGTTTGATTGGCTAGCGCTTGTACTGTCAGATTTGCATACGCGGGATTTGATTGGCTGATGCCAAGCATCGAGCCTCAAAAGTTGATGATAGATGCTCGTGATGCTTGCAAAGCCATGCGATGCTCCCCACAATGCAGTTCGGCGAAGTTTAAAAATCTTCTACGTCACCCCATTCAAATGAATGGGCGAAGCGTTGAAAGCATTTTTCGATGCCTGTAGTGTAGACGGGCCGTTAGACGTCAACTAACACATTTAGCTATGGCACTGTCGTATACATTGAATTATTCAATTTGATAATATGTAATCAACTTAGGCATCCCGCCCAAAAACAAAAATTAAATAACTCATATTCGAATCCTTCCCATCCCTAACACACACACACACACTCTGAATGACTGTGATTTCCCCTTCAACAGGCCGCTTCACTGCAGACAACCTGAACAAAGCCAAGAACCTCTGCAGCAAGAGCATTGGGGAGAGAATGAAGGTACAGAAGCACCAACAGACCACTTTTGAGATGAAGTCAGACAGGAGAAATCCCCATACTTGCCAACCTTGTGACTTCAAAAATGAGGAGGTTTTGTATCAAAGTAGGGGGTCCTCTTGTAACTTATAAAAAAGGGGATACAAAATAAAATGTTTCGGCAGATTTCACAAAATGCATACCTGTTTCGTTTAAAACGTTCCCGTAAGACCCAGGAATCTTTCTTTCCAGGGCGTTTTATGTTAGCTTGAGTATTTCATTTTCTAAATACTCAAAATGTCCCTCTCCGGCTCTCACTCACTGAAGAGGACAAGGCTAGTGTCCTGGGGGAAAACACACAAAGTAAAGGAAAACACATTTATGGAATTTTGTGATGTATATTGTGAGAAATAAGGGAAGATTGTTACCCAACGAGGAAAGAAGACAAAAATAAAAAAAGAGTTTCCCCAAATTGTGAGGATTGTCAAGTTTGGAAATAACAAGACTTAAGAGAGTGTATTTAACTGTATATCTGACCTATTGTTGTTTATGTTCTTAATGCAGAAAAAGGAACCAGTTGGTGATGATGACTCTCTACCAGAAGAAGCCCAAAACGTTGAGTCCCTAACAGCTGAAACACTATCGGTATGAATGCCTTCTCTAATCCTTCATTCCCTCTGAGTGTTTGCACTTTGCTACACACAGTTCTTAAAAGACAGAACACACAAATGTCTTTTTTTGCTTTCGTTAACTTGTTTGCACGTTTCCATTTCTCTATGTCAGCCCCTGACGGTAACCCAGATCAAGAAGGTGCGTTTGTTAGTGGACGAGGCTGTAGAGAAAGCTGATGTCCAGAGAATAAAGCTGGAGGCGGAGCGCTTCGATTACCTGAGGGAGATCGGAAACCTCCTGCACCCGTCTGTGCCCATCAGCAACGATGAGGTGAGGGGCTCCACATAGGCTGGTAAAAGATAGAGCAGAACACATCATCTGGGTTTTGTCACATCGGTTGACAAGTGATTTACCTATAATTGTGATTACATGATCCAGCAATGACTCATTTATAACAGGGGGGGGGGGGGTTCCAAGCACTGTCAGCAGAATGGAGTGGTTCATTTCTGGTAGAAACACCAAACCAATCACAGGAAGCATACCATCAATGTGTAATTGGTGAAAACTGGTGTAGCGTGAACAAGAAATTATCAACTAAACTAGCTAGCTAGACAGCTGCTAAAAGCTACCGTTTTAATAACTTATAGAAGGCTTTTAATGCTGTTTGGGTTTTCCCATCCCTGTAGTGTGTTGTTGAACATATAAATGGTCTGCAACGGCTAAAATCCCAAAGCTCCCACTCCACACTGGAAAATGGAATGTGAACCCGCCCCTTAAAGTTTCCTCTTGTTCCCCGCTGCCAGGATGCCGACAACAAGGTGGAGCGTACCTGGGGCGACTCCAGCGTGCAGAAGAAGTACTCCCACGTGGACCTGGTGGTCATGATCGATGGCTTCGACGGAGAGAGGGGGGCTGTGGTGGCTGGGAGCAGAGGTTACTTCCTGAAGGTGAGGGCAGATGTAACCCATGCAGCAGATGAACATGAAATCACCAGAGAGAGCAGCTGTTCATGCTTTTCCTCTTGTCTCTTCTCCGTCATCTCCCCTCAGGGCCCACTGGTGTTTCTGGAGCAGGCTCTCATCAACTACGGCTTGAGGCTCCTCCACAGCAAGGAGTACACCCCACTCTACACGCCCTTCTTCATGAGGAAAGAGGTCATGCAGGAAGTGGCGCAGCTCAGCCAGTTTGATGATGAGCTCTACAAGGTACAGAGGTTTTTAAAGACTTCCTAAACCTTTTCTGTTCAGTTGTATTTAACTTAAAAAGGTGTTGTCATACCCCCTTTCTGTCCTTCACTATCCTGCAACATTGTGAAAAATACATTGAGATTTAAGTATTTTTTAAATCAAACACCCACGCTAATAAAACCATTGTTTTGGGATGAGATGTTCAGGTGTCTTCATACTTTTGTATGAGTTCTAGTGGTGGCAGTGCCCCCTGGAGGCCTAAACAAAGAACTGCACATTTTAGAGAGTAGTAGTACACTCTTTTTTTGTCATCTTACATTGTGTGAATATCCTGACTGAACTTGATCACTCACTACAATAACTAACTACAAAATTAGTTAACTTTAATAATACCTACTTTTATGTTTTAATTTGCTATTGTAAAATGAACTTACATTTATGGAATATTCAATTTGAACAAATACACAGGTCGTTATATTCATCAAATTGCAAATATAAACATTCAAATTCACTCTGTGAAAACCTTTCAAATGGTTTGATATCATTGTTTGTACATCCTAACCTCGCCTGTGTTTGTATCCAGGTCGTTGGTAAGGGCAGCGAGAAGTCAGACGATAACTCTGTGGATGAGAAGTACCTGATCGCCACCTCGGAGCAGCCCATCGCCGCCTTCCTGAGGGACGAGTGGCTGAAACCCGAAGACCTACCCATCCGCTACGCCGGCTTCTCCACCTGCTTCAGACAGGAAGTGGGCTCCCACGGCCGAGACACTCGCGGGATCTTCAGAGTGCACCAGTTTGAGAAGGTCAGCTATAATCAGGGCTGCACATAACTGGTGCGCATGCGCACCTCTGCCAAAAAAAGAGCACCGGGTCATTTGAAAAAAGGCGCATTTGCGTACCGAGAGAGAGAGGGAGAGAGAAAGAGAAAGATATTTGCGAGTTGCATATGAACTCAGGGCCGGCCCGTAGCACTGGCGTTATAGATGTTCGCCTAGGGCGCCAGATCTGGGGAGGGGCTACGCTGGCAGTTCTGGGAGGAAAACAATTTTTTTTGACTGTTGGTGCTCATCCTAATTTTCTGCCTTGATGTAACAATATTCATAATTAAGTAAATGTAACACCCTTTTCACCCCGGTTACACGTTGCATTTGCCCTGTACGATGGGCGCTGTAAGTGATGAAAATGGGGGATGTTGGCTTATCTGGCAACCGCAGCTCACAGCCAAAATGCGAGTGAGCGAGAGAGAGAGAGAGAGAAGGGCGCACTGCCCGGTGTTGTTATTAGCATCTGGTGCTAGCTGCTCTAACGGATATAAGAAGATGTTTCTACAATAATGTGGAGGGAGAGTCCTCTCCAGTCAGACTGAGAGGCTGATACTACAGCTCAGTGAGGTAAAGGACTCTGAGTGTTTAGATAGTTCACTTTTGTCTAAGTTCAAACAGTTTGTTCACAATTTATGTAAACACATATTTCCAAGGCTCTCCTTTATAATTATTGGGATAAACAGGTTTGAAATCATTCCAATGTATACTATAGGACAGTAACCAAAAATATCCTTTAAAACTGGAGAGATAAAAAAAAGAAAATGCATAAATAAATAAATGTTAAAGATCAAATGCAAAGGTTTTTTTATAATTGCCAGTAAAATCGAAATCATATAGCTACAACACTATCTAAGATATTGCAGTATTAAAATCGTAGATAATATGCGTCTGGCAATGCGCAATATTTATTTTGTTCAACCCCCAACACCAAGTCCGACGATTTATTTTCTCAGCCGCTCCTCCGCAAGATGGCGTCGCGTGACGTCACAGTGGCCAAACAAACAAACCTTGGCTTATCGCTCACAGCTGCTTCCGCCGATAGTACAACTTAGTTTCGTTATCATGTCTGATTCTGAGTAGACTATAGACTAAAAGCTTTAGGAATCCAAACTATAACATATAATAAGTACCCTGTATCAAGATTGATGCAAAACAAGTGAAATTTGACCTTTTTAGAGAGGTTTAGAAAAATAAAGTCCAGGCGGACTCACCTCTGAGTGAGCCTCTGAATTAGCCCCGAGCGAAAAATGCTAACCTATTACTGCACCGAAATCACTCCTAGCTCCCTTATTACTTATCCTAGCTCCACATCCAACACATTGTTTATGATCGTAAAGACACAGAATCTAACGGTGCCCACCTCTATAAGCACCCACTCGGCTGAAAGAAATGAAAGCATGGCGGAGGGCTTTTTTGATGCATAGGCCTAATGAAGTGGTTAGAAGAATGTTGGGTTTTCTAAGTGCTCACAGTCACTTTTAATTGCGCGGGGGGCATTTTTAATTGGGCCAGGAGGAATAATAGTGGATTTAATCCCTATCATAATGCATATTGTTCACACTTTTCCGTTATGAGTGGAGGAGCAATGAATGAGCTGCAGATAAACTACAATGCTAACCGTGAATTAGCCCCGAGCAAAAAATGCTAACCTATTACTGCACCAAAATCACTCCTAGCGCCCTTATTACTTATCCTAGCTCCACATCCAACACATTGTTTATGATCGTAAAGACACAGAATCTAACGGTGCCCACCTCTATAAGCAATAAAACTGCAATTCCGTTATCTGCGTTATCTGCTGTGCTCCGTGCGCTTTGAAATCTAATCAAAAGTTGTTTACCTCAATTCTTTGGCGTTTCTGCATCGCCCGGCTCTTTCGTTCTTTCAGTGGTTTCTTGTGCTGAAATGTGGAGGGGACGGCTCCGGGTTTCAGCCTCCGACGTGCTATTAATGTTTCTCCACCAACAGACTTCATGATAGCAAGATCAACGTCATATGCATCACACGCGAAGTGGTCAGAACACAACTTGCTCCATTTTGTCGGTTGCCATCCAACACGATTCACAAAAAAAAATCCATTTTTTGCGGATGATTTGGTCTTTAGGAAATGCATGTAAAACTCTCCCAGATCCCGCACCGTTCGTACAACAAAAAGCTCAACAATAACCCATGTTAATTCAGTTTTCTTTTCGAAAAACATGTGACCGAGACTGCCGAGTCGGGATGTTTGGTCCAGAGACTGTTTGGCCACTATTACGTCACGCGCGCGGAGGCTGCTGGGAATTACATGTCAGAAATTCAGACGGCTTTGGGTCGAGTTTTGGATCAATAAAAAGCTTTTTTTTGGGTGTATTATCTCGATTTAAATAAAATAAAAAATACAGGCAGTCTTAAAAACAACATTTCTATAAAAATGTAGCATATTTGGAAGCTTTGCATTTGATCTTTAAGGTAAAATAAGATATGAATGAACAACACAAATAAAATAAGTTACATTCATTTGTTATTGGCTATGGTAGGTTATTGGTTATGTTCACATACTTATTTGATTACATCCACTTTTCTAAGATGACAACAGAGACTTTCGACCCAAAACCAGCTGTTGACTTGTGGATGCAAGCAGCTAATCACAGACTCAACCAGAGAGAAAGAAGTAGGCCTACATCATCAGCTACCATGTCTGACAGAGAGGAAGACAGTGAGGAGAACAGTCAGGAGGGTAGTGATGACAGCTTGTAGGATTACTGGTCCAGGGCAAAAAAGTTATGTGCACCCCTGGCTATAATGCAGGAAATAATGATCTAGAAATGTCCCTACTGGGAAATGAGAATCGTATAGCAGTGGCAGTGTTGTTACTTTCTTGGGCTTTTGTTTTGAAAAACAAGCCTAAACCCAAGCTTCCCAAAATAATAGTTGCTCTATTGGGCTTTTACTTTGAAAACGAATAGGCCTTGTCCGGAGCTTCCTGTAAGGATACTATTCATCTATGTGGGCTTTTGTTTTGAAAAACGTGCATCGTCAGGAGCTTACAGTAAGGTCACAGTTACTGAATAGGGCTTTTTTTAAAGAAAAACTAATATTCCTGTAATGATACAGTTACTCTTTGAGCCTCATCATGAGCCTCCTGTTAGTACGCAGTAATTCTTTTGGGCTTTTATTTTGAAAATGAGACTAATGTCAATTGGTTATTCCAGAAGAATGAGGTGTGATAGAAAATACACGTTGGCCAGCTGACTTTGCCACATTTTGGGTATAACATATTTAGTTAACAAATTCAATGGCAGTTATGTGCGTTGAACCGAGTCAGTGATTGAGTGATTTACTGTTTTGGTATTTGGTGAAAAATAATGTCATAAATCTCATGTTTTCTTTGTAGATCGAGCAGTTTGTGTATTCCTCCCCACATGACAACAAATCATGGGAGATGTTTGATGAGATGATCGGGACCGCGGAGGAGTTCTACCAGACGCTAGGAATTCCTTACCGCATCGTCAACATCGTGTCAGGTACGTCTGACACACAGCTTTCTTAATGTGTAACAACATTGTAACAATCAGCTTATATTCGAAGCCTCGTTAACATTGAAAAAAGGTCGGGAGCTACTGTGGTAATTTAACCAGGAAAAGATAGTGGCATAATAATATAATGATGCATAGGCAAGGCAAGTTTATTTATATAGCACTTTTCAACACAAGGCAATTCAAAGTGCTTTACAAAAAATGAAAGAGATTAAGAAAATGGCATTTAAAATCAGTCATTAAAAAGAAAAGCTAATAAAATAAACATTAAAAGAAAAAATACATGGATAAAAGTTACAGTGCAGTCAATTAAACATTAAAAGCATACCCACTTAACGGGAAGAAACTCAGCTAACAGACGATATTAACAATTTTTACCTACACGGAAGAGAAGTCCAACACCAAGAGTCTAAATCAGGGGTCACCAACCTTTTTTAGGGTGAGCGCTACTTTCAAAAAATAAAACAAGTCGTGAGCTACTTTTACTCCTCTTTTTTTGTTTTTTGCAGTGTATATATTTAGCACATTTTAACATTATTATATGCTGACCTTTAACCTTTGTGTGCTGTTTGGGTCTGTGGGACCCGTTTTCAGTGTTTAATAAAATAAAATGTATGCAATTAAATTGTTTTAACCTGCTTTATTTGGGGGTGGACCTCACCTGTACAAGATGTATTTTTAAATGTTGAAGTTAAAGCATCAATCTGGTGCACTTTGAGCACAAAATGAATTTATTGATACAGCTCTCAACACTCAGATGAAAGAGAGCTGTATACTTTTCAATAATCCATACATCTTTAGAATATGATGACAACCAATAACAAATCATTTAAACTTGTTTATTCTTATTTTATGTTACCTAGTTAGCATTCTTTCTTTTTATTTATGCATATTTTCCTAATCACTTCCCTTTTAAAATGTTTTTTTTTATACTGTCCTAGAGAACACATTGGAATGATTTCTTTATCTATATTAAATAGATAAAGGTGTGCTCTCGCTCTCTTTCTGTCTCGCTCGCTCACAGAGGCTGTGTGCTGCTCCGTGGCGATGACGGCTTGCGTTAAAAAATAATAATAAACATATTTGTCCCCTGCTCTTTTCGAAATCCCGTTTGTGTCCCCCTTCTCCCCAGTGGAAATTACGCCATGTGTGTGTGTGCGTCAATTGCAATAAATATATATGCAAGTTGCAACACACAGAGTAAAACTCTGCCCCTCATGTGCTGTATAGACTGGCACGACTAGGCTGTTCAATGGGGCTGATGTGTCAAACTCCTTAAGTGGTGAGCTGCCACATTGCTTTTCTTCCCGACTGCAACGCTGGTCCCGCAAATCAAGCAAGAACGTGATTGGTCGATATTCATTGTGGGGGTGGGGGGAGGAGGGGTGTTAGATAGATATAGAGTTGTAGTAAGTAGATAGAGTTCGCTATGATTTAGGTTTCCTTTATGCATGGGGTAGATTATTTTAATTACATTTCCTTTTTTGTTTTATGATTTGTTTGGCGAGCTATTTTTAGAACATGCCCCGCGGGCGACTAAGTGCCCGCGGGCACCGTGTTGGCTACCCCTGGTCTAAATCAACACTTAGCGAAATGGGCTAACGGGTACTTTAGCACACAACTGGCAAAAGCGATCTGTTCTACGTCATGTCACATGAAAGCTGAGATTCCACAGATTCCATTGGTGTAATGCCCCGGCCACACGAGGACGAAAACGGCTAAACGCATAGGATTAACGCAAACGCAATCGCAAAAAAGCTTCCGTCCACACACAATATTCACCGGATAGTGTCTGTCCACACGAGACAGCTCCGTTTAGCTCCAACCGCTGGAGAAGCTGCAGTACATATGCAGGAGCCTGTACGTGGCGCTGCAACTTCCTCCACAAAAGCAGCGAAGAAGCATGGTTGTCATGGTTGCCTTTCTGTTTATTCTCCGCGGTGGGGGCCGAGGGAACCGGGCAGAGTTTTTCGCCAGTCAACGTGTATTAAAGTTGAAATCTTCCGACAAATTTATAAAAGTGCCGGTCAAAGGTCTTCTTTGTTATTTATTGAGCTTTAAAACAAATGAATAATGACTCTATATAATATAATAATAAAATACACGGAGCCTCTCTTTTTCCTCCCTCTCTTCGGACAGCGTCAGTGTCTGTCTCATGCAGCAGCTGATCCAGTAATGAGTGACCCGGCCGACAGTAAAAATAAACATATTTATAACTAGTTTAGGTAGTTTGAGAGGTGTCTCCGTCCTGTCAGATTAGACTTCACTCGCGTTTATGTCCATATCGAGAGAAAGATAAATAATCTGAATTCAGTGTGCAGTTTACTTTGACGCGGGGGTGAGCAGCAGAGGTGGGGAGAGGCGGGGCTATTGCCTCATCATTATCAGAAAATGATCGTATAGGGCGTACACACGGAGCCGTTGGACCCCCCAGAGCGTTGCGTATGCCGTTCTATCCACCTTGGGACCCGTTATCGTTTCCGCAGTCGTTTAGTGCCGTATTCGGTCGTCCTCGTGTGGCCTAACGGTCTATATGACACTAAACAGTAACGCAAACGACCGTTTTCGTCCTCGTGTGGCCGGGGCATAAGTCTCATCACTGTACGACTAAAACTCACTGAACTAGCAGCCAGGGAAGAGCAAGAAAACAACTTCACTTTACTTAGCCATGATGATAATTATGTCTTACCTTTGCTGTTTTGTGATCAAAAGTTGTGTTCAAGGGCATACAAACAGTTAATCCAATGTCTCTATGTAACTTTAAAATGATTACTGATAATCCATCATTACAATTCTAAATAATAAACTGATTATAATGGTTAGCCGACTGGAGCTTCCGGTTTAGGAGGTGCACACGCAGCGTCTCGTTTTAACTGAATAATGGTCATGTTTACGTGGATTTATGAACTGCCCCTAAATAATTACCGCCCCCCTTCCAGAGACACACTGTCAAACACACTCATACCTGCTTGGTATGGACATTGAAAAAGTTACATTAAAGGAGACCTGTCATGCTATATTTGAATAATATATTGTAGGGCCATTGTAGGGCCATCTGTAAATGAGCTTAGATGGCCCTGTGGGCCATCTAAGCTCATGGCCCTGAGCCCAATAGAGATTGCCCTGATAAATATGCGCGGACGAAATGACGTACGAAGGGTTTGGGGGGCCTCCCCCTAGAACATTTAGATGTTTGCAGGTCTTAGATGCTGTCTGGTGCATTCTCTAGACTGAATTATAAGATGAACCACCACAATATTATATTGTACAATTTCTATTTGATTCTTCATTTCACTTGTTTGTTTGTTCTTGTTTGTGTTTGCTCGCTTGCATGCCCTGCATAGCTATAAGAAATACTTAAGTTGTTGGTCAAGACACTTTCCATCTGATGGAGGCAAATGCCTTCCCAGATGTAAAAAAGTAGAAAACATTACATTCAGTTATAACTGCCAAAACAAACATTATTTACACTATTATGGCCCCTGTTAAAAATGTTTGTAATGTTATCTACTGTAAGTTGGTCGAACGAATGCCTCCTCATCCGGAAGCTGACCGAGCAGACCCGAGCAGCAGTCGAGAGGAGCCGAGCGCATCCGCGAAGCACACAAAATGGCGACGTCAGAGTTCCCGTTAGCCGGCAAATCTAAATCTCTTCGGTCAAAATGTCCGGTCAAAATAATTTCCCTTTAGCGCAATACCGCTTCAGTTGCGCCACTTATGTGACAGACAAGAAGAGTATGTGACAGACAAGAATAGTCAATTCTAATGTCTAACACTTAATGTGGAGAAAGAGATGTCCTGGATGGGTTGATTGTGCGTTGATCTGTTGGTAATGCCTCGGGGTTCCGGTGGGCATGTAAACAAATACATAATGCTGCGCTATACTTTGTGGCCTCACCCAGTTGCATAGCGACACTTATTGTTTAGGTGTCTTTTAATAAGCAGGTAGTCCTATCATTAGCTAGAACTAGCTGGATCTGATCGATATGGACGGGAGAGAGAGATCAGCTGCTGCTGACGAGTCGGCACCATAGACTGTATATATAGGTCGGCACGCAGCTCTGCATGATCACATGCAGCGGTGAGCGGACAAAACACACACTTCAGGTTAGAATATCACACATAGCTATTTTAATGACCTCTCAAACTACCTAAACTAGTTATAGATATGTTTAGTTTTACTGTCGGGTCACTCATTACTGGATCCGCCAGCTGCATGATACTGGCATAATAGATTGCCCGATCGGGGCAACCAGCAGGTGAGGCTTCATTGCCCGAGCGAAATACTAGATGGCCCCGGGCCATCGGGCAGTCGTTAATGTCGAGCCTTGGCTGCAGCTGACCACGCCCCCCTGCAAAGGAGGGGGCCGAGTTACGAACGTCATGTTACCATGCTGTTACCATGCCACGGCAACCTCTCATTCCCCTGATTGGTGGAGAGTTGGCCATATAGGCGGAGCTCCCCGTTTCTGACGTCAGAACAATTTAAAATCTGGATCAGTCTGTATCCGCTCTGTTGCAGCCCCGTTAGAGATTTGGGTATGGAGGAAAAGAGAGGGTTGTGTTTTCTGACACTTGGTGAGTTCCCTGACACACCGGGGACACATATTCATGAATAAAAGACGTACAAAGGTGTATTTTGCATGATGTAAATTACAATAAAATGACTGTTGTTTAATCTTCACATCTTGTAATCATGTCTATAATTTTGAGCACCAAATTATTGAAAAGTATCGATAAGAGTATCGAAAAATACCGGTATCGATAAGCAGTATCGGTATGGATAAAATCCTAACGATACCCATCCCTAGTCTACAGTGATGGCTCTGTCACAACATGGCGGATGATCTAAAAGTCAGTACAGAAAGAAAACGCTTAATAATCAGCTTCTGATAGAGCGGTGATGGCTCTGACATGAACTAACTTACTGCTCCGGTGTTATCACAGGCGCCCTGAACCACGCTGCCAGTAAGAAGCTGGACCTGGAGGCCTGGTTCCCGGGCTCCGGGGCCTTCAGAGAGCTGGTCTCCTGCTCCAACTGCCTCGACTACCAGGCCCGGCGCCTCCGCATCCGCTACGGACAGACCAAGAAGATGATGGACAAGGTGAGGGCACCTTCTGAACACTGTGTTGTTTCTACACACATTTAGTTGGCCGCTGATATTCTTCTTCTTCCTCTCTGTCTCTGTACAGGCTGAGTATGTGCACATGCTGAACGCCACCATGTGCGCCACCACCCGTGTGATGTGCGCCATCCTGGAGAACTACCAAACGGAGGAAGGCATCATCATTCCAGAGAAGCTCCAGCCCTTCATGCCTCCTGGTAAGCTGAATGCAAAATGATTGTAAAATATAATAAATGACAAATAAATACTGTGAAGCCGTTTTTAAAGAAATACAGGCAGGGTGAATAATTAGGAGGAGCAAGCTAGGCTAACGAGCGTAGTTTAGCACACAAAAGCTACCTTGGCTTCCTCCAATATTAAAACATTTCATAGACATCAACATGTCAATTACAAAATAGTTCTTAAGGGGAATTATTTTTACTGAACGTTGTGACGGGAAAGGTTTAAGTTTGTCAGACAACAGATTTTCCCGCCCAAATTGGTAAATATCGGCTAACGGAAAGACTGGTACTTTCTTTTTTTCCATCCAGGTATGACGGAGATCATCAAGTTCGTGAAGCCGGCTCCCATCGATCAGGAGACCACTAAGAAAGCCAAGAAGCAGCAGGACGGAGGAGGGGGAGGCAAGAAGAAGAAGCAGGGAGGAGACCAAAACCTGCCCAGCGCCATGGAGACCATGTCCGTCAACGAATCATAGACTGCCTCACAAACACACACATAGAAACAGATGGAACAGAGCCTTGTGTGTAGTTCTGTTGTCCTTATAACAAAGTAGCTCTGTCCCATCTGTGTCTTATCATGTGATCATCTCAGACCCCCCCCCCCCCCATTCACATGTCTCTCATCTGCAGCAACTCTAAACCTCAAACAAAGTTATTGTAATCTGAATCACCCGCTACTTTTTCACATCAGTAGGTTTCTTTTTTTATAACTGATCAGTAACTCTGCATCTGTTCTTCTGAACTGACTTCATCCTCCTTTTAATAATTCTGAAATCAACCTCAATCAGTGATCAGGTACTTGAATTGTTTGCTTTAGGCTTCCCTTCACGTCGTCATTGATCTCAGACCACGCTGTGTCACTGTTGACCATAATGCTTTTCACTGGCTTATGATTGAGACATCTACATCGTATGAACTCGCTATATAAAGGGACATATATGATTGAGCAAGTGGCACTTACTGTACACAAACAATAAATACAGTTGATATGGAAGTTATCTTTGTGTGGGCTTTTTTTGTGTGTCTACAGTAGGCCTACATGTATTTGTCTTGGTACTGTCCCAGTGTCAGTTGAAAATCTAAATGTTATCCTGTGAAACATCCTATGATGTAGGAATCAAAATGTACGGAAGCCCTGAGAGGCAAGTAAAAGGTGCATTTCGCTTCTGTGTTTATGCCTAAAAAACAGGTCAAAAAGTTCCAACAAGGATCATCTTTCAAAGTTTCTTATTTTTCATTTTATCTGTAAAACTTGAAAAGTGTTTTCTTGTTAGTTTTTGTTGTTGTAATATTAATGTTGACCACTAGAGGCTAAGTGCAACAATTCCCAAACTACTAAAAGGGGTGCTATCATGCTCATTTTCAGGTTCATATATATCAAATGTGTTGGAGCGCTAGCCACTAGAAGCGCAAGTGTGACACTGTGGTGTCATTATGTTCCAGAAGTAAACAAAGGAGTCCAATCAAATCAAGTCTTATTTATATAGCACATTTATAAACGATTTTTGGTCGAGCCAAAGTGCTGTACATATAATAAAAATAGCCTATCGTAGAGACACTTTACAGCAAATACAACAGCACAGATTGTTCAGAATATCAGTATTAAAATGGAAGTGTTTCAGACAGGGGGGAGTGTGTGGGAGATAAACCAGAGGATTTTAGCCTTTGAAAACCATGTACATGCACTTAAACCAATACAACACTACAGGAAAGGGACAACCCCAAAAAGCATAATAGGGCCCCTTTCATTTTTGCACTCTGCAACACAAGGTAACACAAGGTACCATGTATATCGTGTTGTAACATGGCTTTCATGCATGAAAAGTGTAAGACACGTAAAGCATCAGGAAATAACATCCAAGAAGTCCAAACAACGTCTTAATAACTTCTGAACATGCCGATAAATGTTGGTCATTTTAAATGTTTGCCAGTCACCAGATGTATTTGACATTTCCAGGCACTCTGATATCTGATAAAGAGCAATAAGGAACACTTGACAGTTACTCATTAGCTCCAACAGACTTTACACCCGTCCGGCTGTAATGCAATAGGAAGACGGTTTACTCTGGATACGTTGTATTTACACTCAGGTAAGATTCATTTACAGAATTGTATCAATCATTATAACATATTATACCTTAAAATGTCTATTTTAACGTCAGCCTGCAGGGTTTAGTTTGGCACCAGACGGGTTAAAATGAGTGACACGGAGGAAGATAATGAGATCTCCTTTCCAGTAAAGGTAATTGCTGATATTTGTATTTACTTACTCTTCTGAATGTGGCTTAGTTTGTCATCGACTTGTGATATATAGGCTACTGTATGTACAGCAGCTTTTCATAATGTGGCATTCATTTGATATTCAACCATTTTTTCTTTGTTTATGTTTTCTTTTCTTTTTGAAACTGCAGTTTCTTGGCCGGGTTGAGGTGGTCCGCTCTGATGGACTAGAGATCCTGTCTGAGGCTGCTCAGAGCCTAAAGGTCAGAAACTACCGCTCTACATTTGTTTAACGCTTATTTTTGAAGCCTTTCCCTTTTTATTGCACCAAAACAGCTTACAAAGACTGACAAAGTATGTAGTCATTAACAGATGAAAAAGGAGAAAGATACCGCCCACACCACAAAACACTATTAGTTAATATCACATAGACTTGATCTCATTTTTGGGAGGAGCAGGTTGATGAAAGTCTACGGAATAAGGCCCACATGGGAAATGTCTTTTTCAGATCTGACAGAGTGATTTTTTTCAGAGAAAAAACTTTAATTTCAGAACTAATATGAAAATCACATGTGGCCCTTCCTCCATGAAATTCTTATTTTTTCTAATTCTAAAAACTAAGGGATTTGTCTTCTCCATTTGGTATAGGGGGGAAGTATTTTATTTTATAGTATAATATTTAACAAATATATACACAACTAGGATAATAGTTTATATCAATGATATGTTCATATGATTTGTCATCTTGACTTAAAGCTTGGATTCTTCTGCACATTTGACAGAACTGTATCATAGCGGGACATTGTATCCACCAGAGCTGGGAAGTAACTAAATACATTTACTCAAGTACTGTGCTTAAGTACAATTCTGAGATACTTGTACTTTACTTGAGTATTTCCATTTGATGCTATTTTGTACTTCTACTTCACTACCGTTCAGAGGTAAATGGTGTACTTTGAATCCACATTTATTTCATAACTTTAGTTAATTTAACAGAGTAACAGAGTATTCATACACTCTGGTACTTTTAGTCCAGTATCAAATATGAGTACTTCTCCCACCTCTGGTATCCACTATCTCTATATAAACGTGTTGACTGAATATGTTGAAAGGATGCAGTTACAAACAGGACATGTACTCGTCCCCTCTCTTCCCCAGACTCCAGATCAATTCTCCTCAGAGAAGGCAGCGAGGAAGAGCAAGGTCCATCTCTTCCTTTCGCTCAGTGGGATTGACATATTGGAAAACAAAACCAAGGTGAGGGACAAAAGTATTTCAATGATTATACCAGAACAAGGGTGCATCGGTATAGATGAAGTTCTGAAGGGGACTTCAGGGCACAGAGACTAAAAAGGAATACAAATATGTATAAAACTTTACTGAAAAGACACAATTATCACAAAGAAAATCATAACAACTTTAAAGAGACTCAGAAAGAACACAAAGAGACTAAAATGACTTCAAAAAAATGTATACAACCACTATAAAGACTACGACACGCACAATGAGCACTAAGAGACCCAACAGGACTACAAAAGACACTTAACAACTACAAAAAAACATGAAATGACTACAAAGAGATTCAAAATGTCTACAAAAACATATAAAACTACTAGAAAGAGGAAAAACAAGCGACACACAATGACCACACAGAAATCAAAATGACTGAAAAGAGACAAATATAAAATAAAAGGCTCAACAAGTCTCATGTAGGAGAGGAGGTGGAATCTTGTTGCATGTCTGCTCGAGGGCCCTATGTTCCACTCATGTTTTCACTTGCTTTATTGGCCTTGAATTGTCCTCTTTATTCTTCCTGTCTTCTCAACCCTCAGTTTCTGCTGTACTCGTGTCCTCTGTCCACTATTTCCTTCTGTGCCGTCCTACCGTCTTCGCCCAAAGTGTTTGGATTTTTGGCTCGACACCCTGCAGCAGACACCAACCACTGCTACCTGTTCCAGAGCCAGGCGTTTGTAAGTGTCCCCAGAACATCACTCCTATGACATGGTGGTTTTGTTGTTGTTATTTGAACAGTAGATCATTCATTTACTTAACATTCTTCAGTCTCACGTGCTGGTCTCAGTCATTGGGGATGCATTCAGAGCCTCAAAAAAGGAGGAGAGCATCAGGGGAGGGAGAGACCTGATAGTGGAGGCCCTCAGACATAAGGTACGTTTTATGTTGAATTTTATATTTATATCAAAGCTGGTTTTTCACTTTTTGTCTGTCATAATGCATAATGTAGTTCAATTACTTATCAAAAATAGTAACCAGTTCCTACAAATGTGTTATGTTTTTAAGGTTCCGGGGTGCATTTTGACCAGTTTCCAATTGTTTCTCATTCTTATCTTTGTTTGTTTTTTTAGAATAAAGTGCTGCAAAGAGAGAATGAGGAGCTGAAGAGGAGGCTTGCAGGACAGAGCAACTGATGCTGCACTTCCAGAAATTGAGATACATTCTAATTAACAATGTTATATACTCATAAATAAACTTCAAATATTCAAAAATAAACTCCAATGTGTTGTTATTAAAGTCTATGTATTACCAATGTTCCTAAACCAGGTGTTGTGGCTGTCACTACCCGATCTGCAGCTCTGCCCGATCTGCAGTGCGCATGTGCGAGATGGTCCGCCATATTGGACAACTCCGGACGGGAACCAAGTAGGACAACATTGACACAGTGGCTTTTGGCAAAGCTCAAAAGGAAAACTCGAGAGAGATGAGTTATTGTTATTACGACGTGACTTCACTATTATTTAACAACTCTATTTATTGGGTTCTTTTATTTGGGGTTAAGTACATTGTCAGAATAAGTGAGAAATGAATTTAACTTCTGTTAGACAGCTATATGCCATACATTTTTGCACACATTCACAGTAAATATTTATTAACAAAGCACTTATATACTAATAAAGGACTGGCTTATCTAAAGCCAGTTGAGTAGCACTTGAAATGTTTGGCTCTATGAAACCTGATGTACTTATATGATTCTGTTTTCTTCAAGGTTGTGTCTTCCTGGTCGAATGTACTTATTGTAAGTCGCTTTGGATAAAAGCGTCAGCTAAATGCAATGTAATGTAATTCAGCAGTATGATAGCTGTCTAACAGAAGAACACATCCATGGTAGTGACAGTGGCGTTACCGGGCGTTACGCGCATCCACACCAGTAGAGGGCAGCAGTAAGCAGACAGGAACTTGGCGGGTGCGTTCAACGCTACCCTTTCAGTGTCGGGAAAATTAAACCTCGTTCTTGTGCCTTTATAAAGAATTTAAGAAAATACTAGAGTAAATAAACATGTGAAATGATGGCGGAATTATGATGTGTGGCTTGTGCTCACTCGTAAGAACTGACAATAAATGTTATATTAGAAACTACTGGTAAAGTAATTATTTGCAACTCTTCAACAACTGGATAAAAAGCCAAACTTGCATGCCTGACATATTGCATTTAATTGTGTTTCTTCCATAAAGACGATATAACGCAATTTAAGCAATACTAACCACTAGAATGCAAATTAAGGAAATAGTTGATCCAGATGGATGCAGAAATACAGCTGCCGTAGATGGAAGAAGAATGTACGTAGTGATGGGAATTCCGGCTCTTCTTGGTGAGCCGGATCATTTGGCTCGGCTCACCAAGAAGAGCTCCCAAACGGCTCTTCAGTTTACCACATATTATACCTTTTAATTAAATCAAATGTAGCCCTGTTTTGACTAATGATTTATATGTGTACACACATATATCACTTAAATTATTCAATATATCCTTTGTACTGAAGTATTCAAAAGTAAAAAGGACATGTTTAATATAAATGATTTTCTGTGGCCAAATGTTTTCATTGCATTTACAGACCCGTGTAACTCTCTGATACCACCCAATGAATGCACTGACTTGCTTGTCGAACCACGCTACACAAAACAGATAGCAACACCTATAAAAACTATTTAAAAAAAGGGGCTACTGTATCGACATTTTAAAATTATATTTAAAGAAAAGGCCCTGACAAAACAGCAGGGCTCTATTTCAGTAACTATTAGCTATAGAAAAAAAGACAGCAACAGCTGACATCAAATCTTTGCTGAGCCTAAGGATAATCATAAATAAATAACATAGTGAAAATAAATATATTGCAATGCTCAAAACAGCAGCATCCAACCGTCTCTAATCTTTGGATATTACATGTCACCTGCATGCATGCACGGAGCAGCTGTAGCGCGGAGATCATCATCATCATTCTGTCTTGTATTAGGCTACTTAAAGTGGACCTATCATGCTATATTTGAACAATATATTGTAGGGCCATATCTATATAAAGTATATGATTCTGTGAGCTGCAGCTGACCACGCCCCCCTGCAGGAGAGGGGAGAGTGCTTTGAGATCAGCTGCTGGACTGTCAGAAGAGGGGGAGAAAAAGAGATCTCCCTCCTCCGTGTTTTATTCTTATAGAAGTAAGAAGAGAAGTAACGGGGCAGAAACCCTCCTTTTTACGCAGCGGTCCAGACATAGACATCAAACGGCGACACATATTCAGTTGCCAGTTACTTTGGCATTAGGGCAGGGATATCTAGATACTTTCCAAGGTTTGACATAATGAATTGTGCTACTTTTAAAGCAAGCAACGATGTTTTCAAATCTGTAATCAAAAAGCTCCTCAAAAACACTCTCGAAGCAGTTCCTGCCGTTGCTACGTTAGTTCAAACACTAACAACGGACTATTTTTCTTAGCGGATGCATGTCAATTTAAATACATACAACTCACTAAATCAATAAAATCATTTTCTAAATCCATAAAAGCATTTCAATTAATATTGGGAGTCATGTCGTTAATTTGTTGAGAATGTGGCCATGTAATAAGCGGGATAATGTGCACATTGCATAATGTGCCTTCATGCCGATCTAGATCCCTCCGCAAAAAAACAAAACCGGCTCGTTCGCGGGCGCGAGCCGGCTCCCGTCGTTCACTTAAAAGAGCCGGCTCTTTGAGCCGGCTCGTTCGCGACCGACACATCACTAGTACGCAGGGAACGTGAAGGCAACAAAACATGAACGTACACTTTTGTTTGACAGAAAGCAGTGAGTGCGCACTTCTGTAAACCATGGTGTAAAGCAGACTTTGGGATGGCAAAGTTGAACTTTTCGGTCTAAAAGGTAAGTACAGTTTGTACAAATAAGCTAACTGACGCTGCAGGTGGCTACAGGCACTGGGAGCTTACAGCATACCTGTAGAACAGGACCATTAGTTAGCATGCTAGCTACGCCATGCCTGGACAACATTGCATTCTGCTAACTTTAAATGTTGACTGTCAGCTGATACTCTCGGTTATTACCGGCGGACACAGGGGCATTATCCGCAAACCACAGCTGACATAACGCTCCTGCGTCAGTTTCCTTGCATATTTTCTGGCTTTATGGCTTGTTCTCATCCACCTGCAGACCGCAAGTCGATGGGAAACTCGAGTTAATCCGCCATGGGGGCTAAGTGGTCTCGCAGCGAGAGCAGCCTGTCGATCCTCCCGGAGAGGCAGAGCTCCGCGCGGCAGGGAGAGGACAAAGACTCCGATAACGACTCTCTGGACGGGCTCGTGCGGCGCGAGGACATAGCTCAGTTCCCCTACGTTGAGTTCACAGGCAGGGACAGCATAACGTGCCCGACATGCCAAGGCACCGGGCGGATACCCTCAGGTGAGTAGAAACAACGTTATACATCACTGAAGATAGCCTGGAATTATGTGTATACCTAGGTGCCTTAGGTCAGAATTATAGCACAATTGTTTATCCAATTTTAGTCTCAAAAGTGTTGAACATATTTAGTTGCAGTTTGTTTGTGTGCGGTAAGCACTGGGCAGACATGTCTATTAATGGTATGTGGTTCATGTTACAAACACTGCTCATGTCATTTAAACTGGTATTTAAGAGCCCAAAGCAATGTCATTTGATGACACTTAAATAATCTAAAAGGAACTTTTAGCATTTATTATTTTCAATGTAAGGGAGAGGCTGTCCTCGCGAGACTTTGTGTTTACCTAGGGCTGCACAATGTATCAACATTTACTTCAATATTTGCTATTCTAGAGACTTAATAAAACATGTTTGATACAGGTCGTGCTAAAAAACAACTCTCTACTAATTTGTATGCATTTTTCAATGATGAATAATGTTTGAAATGTGTTTATTCCATAACAAATTGCGAATCCATTGCAATTTCATTCAAAAATAATCGCAATAAGATATTTTTTTCCAAATTGTGCTACCCTATTCAATACTATGGTTTGAGACCAACAGTTATCAATATGTTGCATGACCCTTTATCTCTTACTTTATAGATCAAGTGAATGAACTGGTTGCACTGATCCCATACAGCGACCAAAGGCTACGACCCCAAAGAACGTAAGAACAATCATGTTTTTCTGTTTCCCAGCTGTTCATTTAATTATGTCAATTTTGAATGTATGTTTTTGCATTACAAACATTTCATCCTGGTGTGTTCAAGCTTTGAGATAACATCATTGTGTTGGTGTTGTAGGAAGCTGTATGTGGTCCTGTCAGTGGTGTTGTGCCTCCTTGCTTCCTCCCTGGTGGCCTTCTTCCTCTTCCCTCGCTCTGTGATCGTGGTGGATGATGGGATACACTCTGTGTCCGTACGCTTCGACCACTTACAAGATAAAGTCCTAATGAACATGACGGTAGGTTTTCACTCATACATGCAGCATACTGTCTAATACAACCGGCCTGCAGTTCATTCCACCCTCATGGAGGTTCTCACATGACATGCTCAGATTAGAATACTTTTATAGGCAAAAGAAAGACAGTAATGTAGCGTCTTATGCTAAAACTCAATGTATGTACCTTGTGTTTTTAGAATGGAGGCACTAAAACTCCCCTGGAAGAAAACATGAATATCTTTAGTCCTTGAGGATTAAGAAGCGAAGCTCTAGATCAGGGGTGGCCAACCAGTCAGAGGTTAAGAGCCACATTTTTTCTATGTTACTTCAAAGAGCCACATCAAACACACAGTCACTGATACCGCTTGTTTCAGTTTTTTGTTTTCTGGAGACAAGATTTCAACCACGTCACTGATGCATCTTTGTGGCATTGGGATATATTTTTTTTAAATCCTCTGGAGCAGAGAGGAGCTGTGGATTATTGATTAATGCATCAGTGTTTCTTAGGGTCAAAAACACTAAACTCACAACTTCAAATGAAAGCGTTTAGTTTATTTAATAAAAGAGCACATGTTCAATGTGAAAAGTGACAGTAGTTATAGATTATTTGCAATTTGGTGCGATATATATATATATATTTTTTTTAAACACCTTGAATTTCAGGGGGGGCGCGGGGCTCCGTTGGCGGGGCGCAGCGCCCCTCCAAGACAATGGTAGGGGAAACACTGGATAATGTTTAATCAACGATAGGTTTCCCCCCCTCAAAGGTGATTGTTTCACTGCATCGCAGGTATTATTGTGATTGGCTCTTGGGCCACATCAAAATTATACGCGCTGTCATCCTCTCATACTGACACCTGACACCACACATACACCACATACATAACACGGGACAAAAGTAACGGAGCGATTTTATCCGAGCCCAAACAACTTTGACCAGCCAAATTACGTCAGAATTATCAGCATTCAATACTTAACAGACCTACTAAATATCAGGTTTAACTGTCAGGAGTAGCTAGTGTTGTCACGATACCAACATTTTGGTTTTGATACCAAGTCAAGAATTGCGATTCCGATTCTTTTTCGATATTTTCTTTAAAAAAGGGAAACGGTCTTAAATGTAATTATTGTGCTTTATGTCACACCAGAACCAGAACCATAACACAAACTTTTAAACAATGAGTACAATAAATGACAAGAATTTGTTTTAAATAAAATTAATAAATGTCTCACAGACAGGCCTCGTGGTGTCCGTAGGCTTGCCCTCACTGTCAGAGATATCGCTAAAATACTTCCAAATTTCGCTTCTGGCGTCTTTTTTGTCAACAAGCCGAGGCGCAGTGGCAGCTGCACTCCCACTTGCAGCCATGCTTCTCTTTTTTTCACATGCTCTGGCAGCTAGCACGTGCACGAGAGAGGGGAGGCACTTAGAACGTACTTGAGAGGGGCGGGACTGCAGGCACGGCTGCAGTGCAGGGAGTGGAAGCAGAGCGCTGAACACACACGGCTCTTATTAAAACGGCGCTTTCTCACCGGAGTACTTTTCCCCGTCATTCTTAAAGTACCGATACTAATGAAACGGAGGAATCGTACCGTTTTTAACGGCAGGGTATCGCGGTACCTTTCAAGTATCGGTACACCGTGCAACACTAGTCAGGAGTCAGTGTCTCTCCCCCAAACTCACACATATACAATTCGATATGAACTGAAGAGCCGCATGAAACTAGGCAAAGAGCCGCATGCGGCTCGACAGCCGCGGGTTGGCCACCCCTGCTCTAGTACTAGTATTTTAGCAAGTTACACTTATTTTTTAGATATACACAGGACAGGAAACAATTCAGATCAAACCAAGTAAATGGAATGTTTTTCCACGACTTGCCTGTCTGGGTTTCAGTAGTGAAATGTTTGTGTTCAGACGTGTTATTTTTCAACTTAAATGTGTTTTTGAGGATGATATTTATAGTTTTGTTAAATTGTAGTAAATAACACAGAGATTTTTCAGTTTTTAACCCCCTAGATTATATGAATGAATTGGACATAATATTATAAACCCATGTCAGGTTGGTGTACCTAATACACCTTATTAAACATAAAATGCTAATCAATTGCATTTGTATTCTCTTAGATGTGCAAATTGGATGTGTTTTTCCTGTCAAAACAACATTCAACTTGATTTGACTTTAGTGGGGATTTATGATATAGTCTAATTTTCTCCTTTATTTTTTAATATTTATTAACTTCCTTTTCCACAGAGCACTCTGAACCTGAGCAACCCGAACTTCTTCTCGGTGCTGGTGCAGAGTGTGAGCTGTCAGGTCCTCTACATGAAGATGGTGATCGGAAACCAGCAGCTGAACAACGTCACCACCATCCTGCCGCTCAGCCAGAGACAGGTACACACACCTCATCAGTTAGTGTTAGTTACAGAAGGGGTTTAGGTTTTAGGTAAGGCATTGTGTGCACAATCAACACCAGTGGTTGGTTGAGACACTGCTTCCTGATGGTACAAAGTTCAGCATGCAAACAAAGCTGTCATCACTGTGAAGCATGCTCAGGGTTGGGGATGGGTACCGAGCCCCGGTATTAAAAGCAGGGTTCGTACGGGTTCTTGAAATCCTTGAAAATGCTTGAAATTTGACGTGGTGTTTTCAAGGTTGGGGAAAGTGCTTGAATTTTGGGAATGGTGCTTGAAATTGAGATAAAGTGCTTGAAAATGTAAATGCTTTACTTTTACAATAAATTGCTGTCTGACTGAATAGTTCGCTTTTTAGATTAAAAGAAAATAATTGCTTCGCTTCTACATAAAACAGCTCCGCTGCGGCCTTCCCGCGCGACCTGCAAGTGTTTGTGTTACGTGTGACCTGGGCATTCTAATGAGAGCGATAGATGACTGTGTGCCAGGAGGTTGCCGTTTCAACGAGCGTTGGCTAGCAGAAGACAAATACAAGCCATGGCTAAGACGAGGGTCAAGCCCGCGAGTAGCCTCCTGCAAAGTTTGCAAACATAACGATGCGAGAGTCTGCGCTGACGAGCCACATGAAAGGTACGCCGTAGAAGAGCATTTTAGATTAGGCTAATATTGCATGTTACGTTTGTTTAAGCTAACGTTAGCTAGCTGAATAGCGAACTCGATTGAGGGATAATAATCATTGCAGGGGACAATCATTTCAGAGGAGCGTACCTATGTTATGTGCGTTACAGTCGCCATCCTGTGGTCTTCAGAGGATGAAGCACTCACGGCATTTCGTGTTATAGTCACGAAATATAATCTATTGATTCGACACAGAGCGATTTTGAAAGCAATGTATTTCTAATGGTAGTATGTTTCGTACCTAAACCAAATATGACTTGCTCTATCGAAATCAGTCACATTGACCCGAAGACACATTTTCGTTTGTATTACTGGTCTGGGGGAAGCTCGCGAGTGTGTTTGTGTATTTTTGTGTTTGTGTACCGGGGAACCACTCACAAGAAACACCAGCTGTTGTTATACCTGCTGTGACGTTAAGTTACTCAGTTCTCCGCTTGTAATTATGCCGAAGCTTCAAAGTTGTATTTATCATCTGAATTTGCCGAAACAAGTTTAATATTCTGAAAGCCAATACTTTGTTTATTTGAAAACAGATGAAAACAAACTGTCTTTTATATAACATTGAAGTATTATACAAGTAAAACTACATTTTGCTTCAATCCCATGTAATTGTAGAATGAACACAGTCTTCCTTTGAAGATGTATAAGTCAGGTGTCTTGAGTAGTCAGCATCACCTACAAATCATTGTACACATTTGTTAATATTATTTTCCACTTGTTACCATTGTGAGACTATTTGTATGCAGCTCTGCATTATTTTGTGGCTACAATTCAGGCTAATACACTACCAGAGGTGGAATAAGTACTCAGGTATTGTACTTAGCAAAAGTAGAAGTACCAGAGTGTAGGAATACTCTGTCACAGTAAAAGTCTTGCATTCAAAATATTCCTCAAGTGAAAGTAGAAAAGTATTCTCATCAAAATATAGTGAAAGTAGCGACAGTAAAAGTAGTCATTGTGCAGATTGGTTTATTTCAGAATAATATATATGATGTGTTTTATAATGATTGATCATTAGTGTTCTCAAAGCTGGTAAAGGTGCAGCTAGTTTGAAGTACTTTGTATACTGCAGAGTAGCTGGTGGATTTACTCCAGGTGGAACTAAAGTCTGATTTAACACTTGATTAGATTTCACATCATTCATCCACATCTGTGAAGTAACTAAAGGTGTTAAATACATGTAGTGGAGGAAAAGTACACCATCTACCACTGAACTGTAGAGGAGTAGAAGTACACCATGTACCACTGAACTGTAGTGGAGTAGAAGTACACCATGTACCACTGAACTGTAGTGGAGTAGAAGTACACCATGTACCTCTGAACTGTAGAGGAGTAGAAGTACACCATGTACCTCTGAACTGTAGAGGAGTAGAAGTACACCATGTACCTCTGAACTGTAGAGGAGTAGAAGTACACCATGTACCTCTGAACTGTAGAGGAGTAGAAGTACACCATGTACCTCTGAACTGTAGTGGAGTAGAAGTACACCATGTACCTCTGAACTGTAGTGGAGTAGAAGTACACCATGTACCTCTGAACTGTAGAGGAGTAGAAGTACACCATGTACCTCTGAACTGTAGAGGAGTAGAAGTACACCATGTACCTCTGAACTGTAGTGGAGTAGAAGTACACCATGTACCTCTGAACTGTAGTGGAGTAGAAGTACACCATGTACCTCTGAACTGTAGTGGAGTAGAAGTACACCATGTACCTCTGACTTGTGTTTACTGCCAACCTAAAAGTACCTCAAAAATAGTAATCAATAATGTATTGAAAAGTTATTTGGCTGATTGTTGTATATTGGCTCAGACAGGTTATATGGGAGGCCCAGTCTACGTACAGGTCACTCCTTTTGAAATATTAAACTTAGTTTTCTTTTCTTTAATTTTTCATCCTCATGTAGAATGCTATCACGAAACACACATTTGGTTGTTTATAGCATAAAGAACATCTGATTTAATGTGAGGTAGGGAAATAATCATTTGAGTATGTGTATATAAATATGTAATTTACAACAGCTGTAAGCTGCTTGAAAAGACCTGAATTATTAAAGACCGTGGTACTGTTAAGCTCCGACGTTATCAGTCTTTTTATCGGTACTGGAGACATCTAAAATATGTCATATGTATTATTGCTACACAAACAGTATATTGCAGTTTTAGTGTCGCCAACTCTGTTTCTAATATGCAAAAAGACTGCAAAATGCGTCCATGATTATTTTTAGTATTTTCGATCTCTCTCCCCCGCCTGCTTGCGAGGGGGCAGGGCAGTTTACACACACGCGGCTGCTACATGCAGCAACACACACTGAGGAGATGGCAGAGAGAACGCGCTCCGAGGTGTGGTTAAACTTTACCCGTCTCGACGTGGACAATGCTCGTTGCCAAAAGTGCAATAAGAGTTCAGCATGTAAGGGCGGTAACACGAGCAATTTGTCTAAACATTTAGCAAAAGTGCTCCACATTCAGACGGAGGAATGCACCGGGTTCGACTGTCTTTCTAGCAGCTCTGTAGCCCCCCATCCACCAGTAACGTTTCCACGTCAGGTATTATGTATGCTCAGTGGCGTTTTCTCCCGGAGGCCAAGGGAAGCCAGGCTTCCCCTGTTTTTTCAGATTGTAGTTATAATTTTAATAAATAAATAAAAACACTTTGTTTAGTTTCGGAAATTCTTTGTTGTGTGTTGCTGCCGGCCCGTCTCTCCCCCATTCTCATTGAGTATTTTACAAAGAGTGAAACAGCGCCCCTCTAGATGTTATGGTGAAACAGTAGATTGCACTCTCTGTTTCGAGAGGAGGCCAGCCGAAATTGCCTTCCCTTGGTGAAAAAAAAGGAGCGATTGACCAATCAGATGAGGCTCACGTGATGCCCCTGCCAACCTGTGATTGGTCAGGGCCATGCCAAGGGAAGCCAGAGGCGGCTGGCTTCCCTTGCCTCACAATCCAATCAAATTGCATCAACTGAGCGTTGCAGTGACGCGTCCTAAAACCCGGAAGTAAGCTTCGCTCGGATTCCCTCGACAGAAAGCAATGGGATTTCTCCATAGGATTTAGGAAAATAGCTCGAAATAAGGTCAGTGGAAAACAAACCTGTTAGATAAATGCACGTTTTGTTCAGTCGGATAATATCCACATGTCTACTAGGGGTGTTGAAAATAATCGTTTCTACGATGCATTGCGATGCGGACGTGGACGATTCGGTCTCGATGCAGTGACGGAAGATAATCGGTTATAGCGTAGTAACGTTGCTTCCTGATTTTCCGGCCGCGGATTTACTATAACGTTTTTTTTTCCTGTCACTTTAATATCAAATCGGTCGGTGACGCAGAGATCAGGGAACAGACGTGACAGCGGCACAGCAACACCAAACACGGAGCAGTCTGCTTTATCCACCAACACAACACACCACCAGTCCAGAACCAACAGCAGAAGGACCCGCTCTGAATCACTCCGTGTCGCTGCGGCTCAGGGATTTATGTTTTTCAAAAATAATCGCGTTACAATCATGTCAGGTTTTTGGTGGATTTAATTAAGTCTTGGATTGCAGAGTATGAATGTCCTCTAGCAATTTTCAGACGATACGTGTGTAAAGTTTGTGAAGGCAGGAGGAAAAAAGCTTCCGCGATCACCGTCTCCTCTCTGCTGCTACAAGCCCCGCCCCCTCCCTGAAAATAATGAGTGACAGGCTGATAGTGACCTGATAGAAACTTTATTATTCACTTAATCACTGAGATATAACGAAGCTAATTTAATCTCATACATTCATGGGATTTATGTAACAGTAAGACAGAGAATGTAAGTGTGCACCCACATGCAGTATTTTAGTTGTTATATGCTGTTGTAAATACTCCTGTTGTCTGCTGTGTTCAGACTCAAGTCCTGTGTGTGATGCCACATTCAGGACATTCAGGTTCCTTTCTTTAACAAAAGACCGTTGCTAGAAGCTGCAGCTAGACTGCAGAAGCATTCGTTTTTTGTTTTTGAGGATGGAACACACACAGATATAGGGAGGCTAGACCTATACAATTCATTTATTTTGGTTTATAAATTAATGTCAAGACATTTATGTTGATTTCTGAAGCACTTTCTAAATAATAAAAAGAGAGTTCATATGTATTTACTGCATTGATGAAAAATAAGCCATGTGCAGTAATATAGAAAATTGAGGATGCAACGCATTGGTATGCATCGGGATATCAAATTGAATCGAATCGTTGACAGGATAATCGTAATCGAATCGTGAGACCAGTGAAGATGCACAGCCCTAATGTCTACCCTACTTTTATAATTTTCTAATCATAAATCTAATCGATAGAAGATAGATAGCATCACTCTCACCGCCGTTAGAAAGTAGCAAGCAACTGAAGCAAGTGCAATTATGGAGGGTGGAGATGTGGAGTACTTACTCAAAAATAATTGTAGCTCCAATAAGCCGTTTAGTAGGGCTGCTCGATTATGGCAAAAATCATAATCTCGATTATTTGGGTCAATAATTGTAATTGCGATTATTAAACGCGATTATTCATTGACTTTGAAAATATCCATTTATTGGTGAATTTTTTTTTGAACAGTTAGGTTTTTAACAGTTGATTTCCCTGAACTTTAAGTATAATTCAAATGAAAATCCAAAAAAAAATAAAAAATAAATTGTCTTATTTCGATTACGTTGTTTTCGTAATCGTTGCAAGCCGTAATCGCGATTTAAAATACGATTAATTGAGCAGCCCTACCGTTTAAGACAGAGTGAAAACACATACTATACAGAGATGCTGTATGAGAAACCAATGTGAGTTTGGAAAATGTAACAATATAAATCTATTCTAGTAGACCTCAACAATGGAATTATGATCAGTAGAAATGGCCAGGTCATGGGACCTTTTTAAAGGGGCCCTATTAAACTCCTTTTCAGGTTCAAAGTTGTATATTGTGTCTCTACTGTGACATGTCTCTGTGCTATAATGATCAAAAAGCTCTTTATCTTTCTCATACTGCCTGTCCTGCAGCACCTCCTTTCACCCTCTGTCTGAAACCAGAGCCCAGTCTGCTCTGATTGGTTAGCTGGCCGGCTCTGTGGTGATTGGTCCACTGTTTAGAGCTGTCCCGTCCCATTGCCTATCATGTACAATGTGTTAAATATCAATATAGCAACGCTTTTGTAGGGTTGACCATCGGTATTTTCACAAAAATATTTACACAACTTTGATAAATAATCAACATTTATGTGGAGACAATGGCTAAATAGGGAAGACAAATAGAAATATAGCTAGAACAGTCGGGTAAATAAATAAAATCAAATCAACTTCCAGCCTTTAAAACCAGGTGAAGACACTTGTGCTTTATTAAGATATCCGAAATCTTCGACACTATCTAGTCTGGATATTGATGTAATAATAATAATATATTGTCCCACCCATAACTAAAGTGGTACATTTACAAGAATCCAATATGTATGACCAAAACATTCACATTTTCTTGGTTTTTAATAACTCCTTCGATTTGTTGAGTAAAGCAAAAATGATATGTATTGTTTTGTTCTGAAATGCGTGTTTCAGATAGTCAGAAGATGGCTACACGATTTGGAACAATAACTGATTGTTTTGACTGATATTACGATAAAGGAGGGATTCATCATTTGTCCATCATTATTCTCATGTTATAGTTTTGATATTGCACTTTAGCTGTGTTACCTTGTTGTGTTTGTACCACACATGCCCTTTGAAACGTCTAGCTGTGTGTACATTGTCTTTCTCCTTTATCTCACTGATAAACACTGGAGTTACTTATCAGCTCCAGACAACAGCGTGTTGATCTGGTTGTGTCCTGCAGGTGAACTACACCGTCAGTGTGGAGATCGGGAGCAGCGCCCCCTACGTCTAGTAAGTCTGTGATCTACGAGTTCCCCTTTAACCTTCATTTTTTCATGAAATGACACAAAGAGACAATGAGTGGAATTAAATGATTTTTATTTATTCCAGTTTAAATATTTTCTGTTGTGTTTCTTTTCCAGCGCCTTCTGTACCATGCCCAGCATAAAAGTCCACAACATTGTTGTTTCTATGCAGTAAGTTCCTCTTCACCTTTCAAACTCACAAGTACTGAGATGTTGCCCTCTGAACTTACAAGTGTAAAAATACTCAATATGTAGTAAATATAGTACAATCAGCATCAAAATAAAAGTACAGTATATTTAAAAACTGTATAAGGTTCATCATTTTTATATCATTTACCTACACAATAGTATTTTTTTGGAACATTGAAACACTAAATCAATCAACGATACAGTTTTTCCATTGTTATGAGAAAACAAAACGTTATGGCTCAGTTCTAAATCCAAATCAAATAAAACAATAAGAAAAAAAGTAACTACAGCTGTCAGAGAAAGGCAGTGGTGTTAAAGAACTGTTTGAAGTGGAGTGTAGCAGCAAACAGTCCAATAGGAAAGTACTTCAGTCACTATTGTCCAGATGAAACACTTGAGTAGCCGTTAGCTATTTTCCACTTTTGCACCATCATACATTTTCTTATCAGCCGCCAGCCAGCTGTCACTTGTGTCGTGTTATGTAACACTGAGACGCTGTCACCACACAGGCCACTTCCTCAAGGAGGGACATCGCAGTCTAAACAAGCATCCTTTCTAGGGCTGTGCCCGACTTAAAGCCTCATCTTTAACGTGGACATTTCACATTTGAAATCAACATTGGACTGTGGCAGCGCTGTGAGGAGGTTTATCACAATGTTTTATATACACCGAGGGAAATTGGGTTTTGTGTCAGTTGCTCCATTTAAAAACAATAATATAGTGATAAGAAGTTAAAGTAAGAATGTGCATTTAAACATAACATAGAATGAAGATTTAAATGTAAACATATTGCATACAAAAAAAGAGTAGAATACAAATATTTATACAATACAGGAAGTTAAATAAGAATGTAAATATAAGAAGTAAAAGTTCTATTTTAGCTCCATTTAATAATAATAAAAAAGAATGAATATGAATAGAAATATATAGATTATCAAGAGAGGTGTAAGTAAAATGTGCACATTGTTCTTACAAAATAACCATTCTTCAGCGGTAATATCATTGATAACATGTAAACATTATAAAAATGATTTAAAATAAATAAAAGGCTCATTACTCAGTATTTTCTCATTCATTTAATGACGAGACAAGAGAAAGTTATAGAAAAGTAAATATAGGCGCTTTCACACCGGAGTAAACCCAAAGCAGCAGAAGAAGAAGTGACGTCAGCGGCTCCCTCAGGGACTTATTCCGGTGTGAACGCAATTTACTAGATAGTTCCAGGAAATAAAAGTTCTGGGGAACTATTCCTGGGAAAAGTACTTGGTGTGAAAGCGCCTTATGATGTGGTCTTTTGGTTTTATTGTGGTGATGACAGAAATTGCTTTTAAGTTCTGTATCGTTCCGCTTGTTTTCAGAACCACGGTAAAAACCTCATACATGGTGCGGACGTCCCAGAACAGCCTGGAGGCGTACCGCTACATCGACTGCGGCTCCAACACCACGCGCTCCAAGCACAGGCACCCCTCCTCTGGCCACGCCCTCAGCGCCCCCCTGCTGTGAGGTGACGCTGCACACTCCAGGATGCTTCATACGGACATACACCAGCAGCAGACCCCATCAGATGGTGCTCTCTCTTGATGTTACATAAGCAGCTGATAACTCGTGCCATTTAACCGTGTAGCCGGGCAACAGGCGATTCCTGTTAGGCGTGGATATTTCCTGCCCTTTCTTTGGATTTGTACTCGCATTAACAGGGCTGCCCAATGCAATAAGAGTTAAAGAAAAGGTTGACTTCTCAAACTTGCTGACGGAATGAGTCACATGTTGATAGAGGAGTGACTAGCTGAACGTGGAGCACTCGTTGTCCCTGTTTCAGAGGCAGGACAGAGACAGCTCTTTCTTCAAAGGGAATGGCAGACATTCCAAGCTGACAAAGGCATTTAGCTTTAATTAACGCTGTGTGCTGTCGTAACATGGGAGCGTCCTACAGCTTTGTGATGTTACACTGTTGGGCTGAGGCTAAAGGAGGAGGCTTGCTGTTTTCTGTTTGGGATTTAGTGCGACCTCAGAAGGGAAACCTTAATGATTGAATGTTTTTGCACCTCGAAACTGGGACATATTGTTAAACATATTGCTTTTGCTGTTTAATTGAACTGATGCTGAGTTGAGATGTTCTTTCACAGCATACTGATTTTAGATTCAGGGCAGAGGAGTGTCACAGAGAGGAAACTGCTCTCAGGCTACATGTTTTGTATAAGCTAATACGGAGGCCCTGAGATGGAGTTGGGGGGGGGGGGGGGGTGAAACCATTTCTCTCCTGTAACAAAGAACAGGTGATTCCAGTGTTTGTTGTTTGTGAAACGGGTGGAGAAAAGGTAGTTTTGGCAGTTGAAGAAATCACAACAATCACTATTCTGTTATTTTCTTTTAAGGGTTAAAACTGGTGAAAATGATGAACGTGTGTTGTAATGCTAATTTCGGCAAGCATTTATTTTTCTTTAACGTCAATTAAAATATATTTCTAGCCAATAGGATTGGTCAAAGAGTCATGACAGTAATGGGACACAATGTTTTTAGTGGTGCGCTTCGACCTGTTGTGGTCAAAATGGGTAACACTTTTTTTTATTCACCTGCCAACTTTAGTTTCCACCTTTTTTGTTTTTTAACGTTTTAAAAGGTGATCCTGACAAAGCTTTTATCAGCTGCTCGTAAGTTATAAACGCTGGTAAGACGTCTCTTACTTTAAAAACAAATCTCTGGAATTTGTTGTCATTGGCATCTCGGCGCTTATGTCTTATTATAAACTAGGATATTCTGGAGTTAATGACAGTAACAGACAATATTTGTATCATTTACACTCTTGGCTAAGCTACTGAGGAATATAGGAACATCTGTATACAGTATCCTTTCAAAGATGGCCTTAAAAATCCAGATGTGTAACAGAAAACCGTTAATGAATGAAAGTGTGTATTTTGAATTGCATTCGGTCAGACCGTAATGGATCTACACGGTTATTTCCTCTGCGTTACCCTTCATCTGCGTGTTTTGATCAACTCCTCTGTCGTATGACTCATTTCTCATCCTCAATCAGGAAGTACATTATCACTATTCATGGCTGAAACCTCACAAAATGTTTTCTAATTATTTCTGCTACAGGATCTGTTCTGTCATGAGGTTGACTTTAAAATGGAATCAAAGTCACTTAAAACGATTTAGATTTGTTATTTTTTTTAAAGGGACAGTTTGTAAATTTGTGATTGATTTTTAAAAAACTAAACGGTTTATATTGTCATGCTTAAAAGTTATTAAAGGGATGTTTGAATAAATAAAACTAATAATGAAGCCCAATAGTTGTTGTTTCAGTCTCTTTTCTTTGCTAAAAACATTCATAAGAAATCGCCAATTAATTTGCAAAAATTCACTGACGGCAACATAGATTGTTGAACATATATAATCATTTGTTGGTCCTAATGAGCTTAGATTGAAGATAGATGTGAGCCTTTTTCTTCTATCCAGCTTTAACTCAATGACTCATCTCAAGTTATGAATATAGCCATTGTCAAGTGAAAGCATGATGGAAATGGTGCTCTAATCAATTATTTGAATAGCAGTCAATGACATGATGCTAACAAAATAATCAGTCTTTCGGAGTTTGGTGACATACTGTGTGTGTGTGGGGGGGGGGTCACACATGTATGGTAGCCTCTACCACCAGTGTGTGAATGGGTGACTGTTGGCCTGGGTTATAAAGTGTTTTGAGTGGTTTCTACGAATGGAAAGCACTTTATAAATGCCATGTTTCCAGCATTTAATCTCTTTTTAGATCTTATTTTAGCAAAGAGCCAAACCTGTCCTGCTCCTCGCCTGTTAAATGTGAAACATTGTTTTACTTTTCTTTGTGTAATAGCATAAAAGGAATACCTTATCGAGAAAATGGCAGATCCTAGAGTGTGGTCTCTTTTCCCTCCGCTCTCAAAATCCCAGATAAAGGTTGGTACTGTTTTATCTTAAGCAGGAGCAGCTAAAACATATATTATCTTGCATTTTTAGTTGGGTAATTGTTTTGTCTCTAAATACATTTCACAGGAAATGCACTTTTTATCTGAAATGATTGCTCCGGAGGTTCTCCCGGTGAATAACATCAGCACGGCTGCTGACCTGCTGAAACAAGGAGCATGTGACCCCTCTCTTCCTAACAGGACCCTGTGAGGTGTGTTCATGATGCTCACCTCTCTGTCTGTCCCTCCCCTCAGCCTGTAACGTCCTCTACCTGAACTCCGTGGAAACAGAGTCTCTCACCGGCCCCCAGGCCATCGCCAAGGCAACAGATTAGAAGGTAGTCCAGTTCAAGAGGACATCACAGGTCATCGCGCTCACCGACAGAAAGCGCAGGTACATAATTCCCCACAGGATTGGAACTTATTAAATAAATAGAGGCACAGGAATGAGTCCTTAACCCGTAAATGAGTAGCATTTTGCTCCCTCATCTGAAAGTCAATGGTCTTTTAAAAGAGTTTTGATTTGTTGTCGGAAATCTTTTCTGTGGTTAACAAAAGCTCCAGAGTTTCATACATTCTACGGCCCAAAATAAGTCAATAAATTGCCCACTGGTGAATGTCTGAAGCTTCTATAGAGGTTTCTCAATACCCTAATTTCCCCTCCTCGAATCCTCGGTCCTCCGGTTGTGACCCGGAAATGGATTTCAGCGCGCCATGTTGAAGGACATCTCATTTCTCTAAATGCACATCGAGGACCGAGCATCGAGCATCGAGGAGGCTCTCTGGAGGAGCTCTAACCGAGGAGACACTGATGGGTCCTCCACGGATCCATTTCCGGGAACGTTGGAAGCGTTACGCACGGCCGGACTTATCTTAGCCAATGACAGCTCTGCATGCATCCCCTGGATATTATCTTATTAACCGCTTGAACGGTGATGCAAGTTTTACAGTGAGAACAGCTGTGAGGTCCGTGCAGAAAGCAGAGCAGTGTTTAAAATATATATCACTCAGTATAACAGGCCCAAATTACTCTCTGTATTTGTATGCTGTAGTTTAGTAGATATCTACAAACAAAGAGTCGATATTTTTCTAAGACCATTTAGTGCTTCACATAATAAAATACACAACGGCTGTAGCCTGATTATATGCTTTAGGAGCTGTAGGTGTGTGTGGTAGGTAGGCCTACAGTGTGTAGGTGTGTGTGTGTTGTACAATGTGTACGTAGATGCGGCGGACAGTTGGTTTGGTCCTATGCTTACTTTTAATACTTGTAAATACAACTTTTGGCCGGGGGGGGGAGAGATATATATCCAGTCTGATTGTGTTAAGTATGAGAGCACTCTCATAATAACGTGTTTGATTCTGAAATTATATATATTTATATATGAGTGTGTATATGTCCGCATCTGTAGCCTGTTATTGTCGCATTATACCGCACTGTCAATGAATTAAAAGTAAATGAACACATCTGATGGACAGATGTGTTCATGACGACTTATATAGGCTGCTGTGCCTCCTGTCATCAATCAATCAATTTTTATTTATATAGCCCAATATCACAAATGTTACATTTGTCTCAGTGGACTTTACAGTTTGTACAAAATATCAGTATGACAATACGACACCCTCTGTCCTTAGACCCTCACATCGTACAAGGAAAACCTTCCAGAGAAAACCCACAGTTTAAAGGGAAAAATGGGAGAAACCTCAGGGAGAGCAACAGAGGAGGGATCCCTCTCCCAGGACGGACAGACGTGCATTAGATGCCGTGTGTAAATTGAAAAGATAATACATTTGCAACATAGGTAGTCCAAATGTTTGGAAATGCATGTGTGTATAATAGGAAGATGAATCCACGAGGATATCCATCCAGGACCTATGATCCAGGACCACAGCCACGACTCAAGATCCAGGACAGAGGAGCGCAGGATCATCCATGACTCCGGATCCCGGCGTATACAGACACCAAAAAGAAAGACATTTGGGGAAGCTGGGTTAATCGGAACATGAGAGTACACAGGTATAGACAGAGAGAAGGAAGAAGTAAGATGTTCCCCGACAAACTAAGCCTATATCAGCAAAACTAGGGGCTGAATCTAATCAGCCCTAACTATAAGCTTTATCAAAAAGGAAGGGCTTAAGCGCACTCTTAAAAACGGATAGGGTGTCTGCCGCCCGAACACAAACTGGAAGCTGATTCCACAAATGTGGAGCTTGATAAGAAAAGGCTCTGGCTCCCATTGTACTTTTAGAGTACAATGTCATCATTGATGGACGTCTCTTTAAAATGACAGCTCAGAGGAGAGGAGTTCTCATTTCTCTACCCACCTGCTGCTTCCCCTCCTCAGTCCTCCGCTCGCATCTCCTGTGGGCGGGACTAAGTATCGAGGATAGGAGTCGAGGAGGGGAAATTAGAGTATTGAGAAACCTCTTCTGTGTCTAACAACGGCGGTTTCTAACAAGTGACTACATTAGGCTGCTTAAGGTCATCGTGCTGAACATTAGCCGCCTTTAGCTTAGCAGTGGTGACAGGAAGTCATGCACCAAAGATGCAGTACTTTATAGCAGGGATTCCCAACCTTTATTGTGCCAAGGACCGGCAGATCCAATAAATAAAAAATCGCGGACCGGTTGTCAATTTTAACTGATTTTAATATTTACTCACCCCCAGCAGCAACAGAGGCTAATTGTATGTAACAGCCTGAACAAATACTAGAACAATATGCATCCAAAACATATTAACAACGTTTAAAAAAGAACCGGTGTCATTTTTTGTTTTTTCAGAAAAACGGAAAACCAAAAAACCGAGGTTATTCAGTTTTTAAACCAAAACGGGAAAACAGATAAATCAACGTTTTGGTTTTGTTTGTATGATTTACGGATAATCCAGTGATGGGAAGGCGCATTAGGACATCTCCGGGGTGTGTGTGTGTCTGTGTGCAACCCAGTCTCATGGCATTTCGTGTTCACCAACACGATTTGTAATCTATTGATTCGTGTTCACCAACACGATTTTCCCCTTTTTTTCGTGTTGCACAGCACGATTTTAAAAGCAATGTATTTCTACTGGTAATGTGTTTCGTGCCTGCAGCACGTCTTTTTCTCCGGTCGGGTCGTGGAAGACCGGAAGCTGTGTGGTTCATAAAAACATGTTCTTACTCAATATCAAGCCACAATTATTGCTTTTATTTTAAATCGTATAATTTCGGACTTTTGTTTCCGTCTGTGAGGAAAATAAATGAGGCTCAGAGCCTCAGGATACTGAAATCTGTATTTTTTAAATCTTTTTTTCCTTCTAATTTGTTATTCTTTTCAAAATAACACACTGTTATTTACTCACCAATAACACACAATTATCCTTGCTTTTATTTATTGGTTTAATTCCATAATCTCGGGCTTTTTTGGCGTCCGTCAGGAACTGAATTTCAAAATAAAAATAACCGGAAACAGACGTAGGCATTTTCGAGCGATTACCCAAGATCCTCAGCTATGGTTTAAGCTCGTTTATTGGATGTTTTAGCCGCAATGCATGCTGGGATTTGGTGTTTATATCATATGAAATCCGGAAAACATTTTAAAAGAATAAAATAATACTTAATTCCGAGTGTTCTTGCTTTTCTCTTTGAAAGTCATCACATAACGACATTGTAATACACGGTTCGGCTGCATTGTATATTACAGATCTGCCGTAGTTCTTTATTTATAGAGCCCTGATGAGAAGACCTTTGGAAAACCTGGAAGAAATGCCGCCGAAACTGAATACTTGACGTGGATCATAAATATATCAACAATTACACATCTTCAATTTCTCTTCACACAATACGTCTCCTTGCAGTATCAACACTAATTCGGCTGACTTTTACATTTGATCTAATTCACAGATAAGTTATATTTACACCATAACGGTGCACAGCTGATATAAAAGGACTTGTAGTTTTTAAAGATATTACTGATTTTCTTTGAATATAAGAATGTAAATACTGAGTCTGAAATAGTATAGCAATATGCTGTAAAATGATGTGAAAGCATGAATAAAACTACACATCTTCAGATGTTGTACATACATAAGTGTCCTACACTAATAATACAAAGTTATTATGGCTGTGTGTACCTTGTGTGCACCGCCTATGGTTAAAGCACGTTATTGAATTATTGTTTTTATGTGCTATATATTTGATTAAAATATTAAGAGTACATACTTTCATAGAGGGAAAGTAGAAGGTCTGTGATAGAAATATAGAATATAAAAAATCAAGAAGATACTGTAAGTGATCTCTACAATAAAACAGTTTAGTGCTGGATGTACAAATATATTAATAGGAGGAGGTGCAAAAGAGAAAAACGAATTAACCTTTATTTAAACATTAAATAACAGATTAAGGTCTTCTTTTAAATAAGAAAAACACTTTGGGGGTATCTATCTACAGATAAATATTAAGCCTGACAAAGTACTTAACGTCTAATATATTGCTTTCCTGCAATGTTAACTATGTTGAAGCACTTATTTTAACTGATATTATACATATGAATTATACTCTTATGTATGTAGATAGAATAAGAAATGTGCAGAATATGACAGTTTAATGGTGGAGGTACACACATATTGATAGATGTCTTGTAATGCACTGTTGAGGAACCTGTGACCCAAGTTTTTCATTCATTGCATACACCGTAGTTGTGTATATGAATATGTCAATAAACCTTTGAAAATCTTGAAATCTTGAAAGGGATGTGCAAAATAGCCATAATATACAGTCTTTAATTAACTCTTAGTAGAGAATAACGAGTAATGAATATACTTTATTACTCGTTTCCATTCATGTCAATTGCAGATACATGTTTAGTCTTCTCAAGCACCAACTATCAAATATCTCTCCTGATTGTTGGCACTTGACAATCACCTTCCCTGAATTTTACTGTAACTAAAGTCTGATTTAAGGGTTGTTTATATTTCACATCATTAATCAGAATCTGCAAAGTAACTCAAATAAATGCAGTGGAGTAAAAATACCAGGTTAACCTCTGAATTGTAGTGGAGTAGAATTACAAAGTAACAATGAGCTGTCATGTGGGTATTAATGCTGCGCATTATGGACACAAGCGATTTTCACCCATTTATTAATGATATGTTTGACATTTGATAACACCAATGTGTTTAATACTGGCAACTTCTAATTGTGGGAAAAACGAAAACGTTCAGTAGAGATGTCCCATAGAACATTTTGCGAAACACAATAGCCAGCGTGTGTAGTTCTGGGGGGGCGTTCGATTCCAGTTTTGGATAGTCTGGCGTGGTTTCGTTCCATTTCAAACAGCTGTTTGACGCTCGTTGTAACCTTGGCGCACTGCCACTCCAACATCCAATCCCGGAGTTTGAAGATTAATCACGGGGACTGTAGTCCTAAACGATAGCTGGGGATTATGGGTAGTGTAGTGTCTTCGGTCATCCTAAACTCAGAAATGTTGACAATCGCAATGATGCTCGAAATGTCCCTTATAGGCCTACGTCTGTTTCCGGTTATTTTTATTTTGAAATTCAGTTCCTGACGGACGCCAAAAAAGCCCAAGATTATGGAATTAAACCAATAAATAAAAGCAAGGATAATTGTGTGTTATTGGTGAGTAAATAACAGTGTGTTATTTTGAAAAGAATAACAAATTAGAAGGAAAAAAAGATTTAAAAAATACAGATTTCCGTATCCTGAGGCTCTGAGCCCCATTTATTTTCCTCACAGACGGCAACAAAAGTCCGAAATTATACGATTTAAAATAAAAGCAATAATTGTGGCTTGATATTGAGTAAGAACATGTTTTTATGAACCACACAGCTTCCGGTCTTCCACGACCCGACCGGAGAAAAATACGTGCTGCAGGCACGAAACACATTACCAGTAGAAATACATTGCTTTTAAAATCGTGCTGTGCAACACGAAAAAAAGGGGAAAATCGTGTTGGTGAACACGAACCAATAGATTACAAATCGTGTTGGTGAACACGAAATGCCATGAGACTGGGTTGCTGTGTGACACTGGCATTTGTTTTCAGAAGATATTATGATAGTGTCGTTCGTTCCGGTGCACTCCGACAGCATTTAGCACTACATCGAGATTAAGATTAAACTAATTTCTTATGGGAACACCCGCATATACCTATGGAGTTAGCCAGATGTGTGTAAATTACTGTTCATGGTCATTTGAAAACAAATGCCGGTGTCGGACACACACAAACACACCGAACACACACACACACACACACACACACACACACACACACACACACACACACACACACACACACACACACACACACCATACGCCTTGGTGACTGGACATCTCCTTCATACAACTAATAAAAGGGGGAGTAATCGGGCAGTTCGATGTGTGTAGAGATGTGTGTGGTTAACACGTAGCAGCTTATGTCACTCGCTGTTCTGATGAAGGTAAACACAGCGAAGGCGGTGCGTAAAAAGGCACATCTTTACCCGCTGGTGCTGCACTTCTCAGAGGCGGAGTTACACGTCCCGCTGCCTCCTGATGCTGCAGCCATTTCATGAAGTGAAGGAGTCTTTCCTTCTATAAAACAGCTGCGGGCAGCAGATACTGTGAGAGTCCCGGACATTAATTCATAGATCAAGGCAGAATGGTTTACTCTCCTGTTTTGCCAATCCGGTGCTTAAACATATAGCTCTACACCCCTGGCCGACATGTCCTTAAAATTAAGTCCGAGTTTGAAATATATCTCAAATAATGTATGCACTGCCATTTCCCCACATAAACATAACAGTCTGCAATTAAACGGTTGTCTCCTGTGCGCTCCTCTTCCTACTTGGCGCACCGGTAACTTTCTCGTGCGCACGAGAGGCTGAGACCATAGGCTGAGCCGCCGAATCCCTCGGAACATCATAAAAGCCATTTTCAACGGTTTTCTGGTGAAAGATTAACTAGGCTACTGGATGAAATAATATGACTGGTATAGGTGCGAACATTAAACACTTTTTAAAAAAAAATGTTTTATATGTTTATAATTCTGCAAATATTACGATAAACTCACAGCTATTTCGCGGCCCGGCAGTAACACCTCCGCGGCCCGGTACCGGTCCGCGGACCGGGGGTTGGGAACCCCTGCTTTATAGCATTACATTAGCTTTTCACTTCTGCTGTGTGGATTTACGCTTCAAGCATAGGCCTACTCAAAGTGGTGTTAATATGTGAAGATTATCCTGCCGAACACAGCGTTGGCATTGGCTTTTTGTTGAGGGAGCGCTACCCTAACCCTTGAGATGCTAACGTCTAGGTTTGCCTGAAAAAATGTGGGTATATTGGTATGAAATTGAGGTATGGAATTCATCTGCAAATTGTCTGATTTAAAAATAGACCAAACCTTTTTTATGGATTCATGATGTAGGCCAAAGTATGGCTAATGTTTTTGTTTTTTTTAACATTTAGCTATTGAAGCAGTTCTGATCACAGGCTGGTTAAGGGGAGTGAGAATTCAGCTGTCAGTTATTTAATTAAAAAAGTCAATGAAATAGTTTTTCAAAAATTGTGAAACACCACAAACAGAATAGTAGAAATGAGTTATTTAGGTGGATCAGTCCAGTGGTATACAAGACCGCTGCAGACAGAAAGAGAGGAAGATACAAACATGGACACACAAAAAAACGCTGAACACAGAGCACTTTAGGTACCACATCATTTCTGTTTAATCTATTCTTCATTTTTTGGCATACAAAATAGCATAATGTCCTTTATAAACAAACACGTTTCCTTTTTTTATATCTCATACACGGTCCTATAGCTGCATGTGAAAATATATTACTACATAATATAGAGATCAACAAGAAAAAACAGACCACAATATATTATCGCTGTAATACAAGTAGTGTTTTTCTACGTTTCAAGGCAACACACTAAAATAAATGCATAGAGTAAAAACACAAGAAGCAATAAGTACAAAAATATAGCAGGATAAAAAGCTTATTAATACAAGAGTGCTTTGTCTTTGGTTATGTACGTCTGTCTTTAGGCCACTGCTTTGCTTTGTGTGTGTTTACCGGCCTGCTCTTTGTTAACTTAATGTTTTATACTGAATTTGGTAACACGGTGCGTTTGAACACTTTACGTCCTTCCCCATCTAGCTTTTCCCTCCATGTCACATACATATCTTTAAAAATGGACGTTAACGAAAACCTTACCCGAAATACCCTCGACACACGCATGCCACTACCTCGCACATACACACACAGGCCACTACCTCGCACACACACTCGTTAAAAGTTAAAAACCTCACATTCATGTTTACTTTCATCAGAGAGTTATGTCTCTTCCTCGCTCCGATGTAATAAGTGTATGTGATTGTCGGTTATGATTAAAGCTGTTATAATGAAGGCAAGAGTGGCTGTAACTGCTCGGTACATACATGTCAATACCTGCAAATCTCAAAATATAGAAACGTAATAATGTTATCAGGGCTTTGGTCACTTTATAACAGAATATTCTGTTATTAAAGGAAGTTCCTATGTCTTAATGGTTGAACATGTTCAGGCTTTTCACCCCCAAAACAGTGCAAGGAAATGTCCTCTTTGTAATATCTTCCCACAGTCTGATGTGTGTGTCATTTAAAGCTCCTTCAGTCATGATAAAAGTTGTATTCAACCACGGGCCTGTTTCACAAAGTGAGTTAAACGTAGTCGGTAACTCTGGAAAACTGGTATCATGAAGCTGTAACAACCACAACAAAAAGCTCCTGGAACCTTAGAATCAATTCATGAATATTTCTAAATACAACTCACTATTGAAGAGCTACATTTAAGGAACAAAAGTGTAAGATAAGTTTAAGAATCCAAAATATCTGGTCTACCAGATTCAGACGTTTCTGATCCTGATTGGTTAGAACATCTGAAAAAGTGAGATTATGTGGCCTTTGATATGACATTTATAAAAATAAAGATGTCTAAAAGGTAATTGTGATATTACACAAATGATCAATATATTCATTCTTATGTCCAAATATTATAGTTTGCAGCTTTTACTACTGTGGGACTAAATGGTTATTTAAAAGACACAGTCAAAAACAAGCTTCTCTTCCAGTTTCTACAGTCACGTTACCAGCCGTTTTTTAAAACTTGAAGCGCTCGGCCACACAAAAAAGTACACTTTATACTGTGTGTAAGAGGTCTGACTATGGGTTTAAATCTGATTCTCTGAACTCTGTAACCAGGTAACCATGGTGTTCTACCCTGGTTAAGAGTAGGTTAGCTTCATGATGCCTTATGGCCCAAGATAGCTGAATTCCCCCTCAGTCTCTCTTCATGAAACAGGCCCCTCTTAGACGCAGAACATTTCGATTTGTTCTTGTAAATCCACTGTTGTAGAAGTTTTCTCTGAAGCCTCCTTGTCCTTGGAGGAGCTGTAACACTTTACATCATGGCTTAGTTTGATTCACAACAGTTCCTATATGAGAAAAATCAAAAGTAGTGTTGTATTGCCAACAGCCCTCTAGGAGCAGACAGAGTAATGAAAACCCAGCATACCTTTCCAAAATGTCTTTACACTCCGAAAACACTCTCACTGAGTCGTTACGGTGCATAACAAGCTTTATATATGCATCTCCATGCCACTGTCCATCTGCTCTGGCTTCCGTCTCTTTCGTCCCTCTATCGGCGCTGAGACAACATGACCTTGTTGATGAAGTTGACGATGGCGGAGGCGGGTTGTTCCGGGTCCATCTCTGCGAACAGGTGGCACACGTTCTCTGCCACACTGCCTGGCTTCCTGGCTACAAAACCAAACACCCTGAGGGGAGAAAGGTGGAGGAAGAGAAAGCATGTATAATATATAAATCATAATTAATAAATAACAAGTGAAAGGGAGAAACATTGTGTGTAGTACTCCAAGTCTCTCTGTCACAGCCCACTGGAGTATACAGAAGTCCTGAGGAACAAGTGTGATTTTATTCATTTTGTTGTGACCTTTTCTACCGTAGCTCCGATCTAAATGGTTTACGACTGAAACCTTTGGTCCCAGGTTAATTGTTAAAAGCTCATTCATTTTCTACTTTTCTTAGTTTCCTTCAAAACAGGTGAAAAAGTTTAGTTTTTGTGGGAATATGAATTCAGTGTTTGATAATCATTTTGGCTAGAAGAGGCTTCTTATTAGGGTTCATGGAAAAACTGAGAAAATGTATGGTTTTGAGCTATTTAGAACAAAACATTTATTTCACATGTTAATAAGTAATGAGTAAATAATAAGCCATTTAGAATAATTATTTTCTTGCAAAACATGTTTTCCTCCCGTTTCAGAGATTCTATGAAAAATAAATACGAAAGATAATCTCTGTAAAACTTTTTTATTTTTTTTTAACTCTTTAGATCACACTTCAAATGAATTAGGAACAAATAGAACTTGCCTCTGAGGGCTTCCGTAGCGTCAACTACAATGAAACAATCAGTATTATGTAATAAGGGGTGATGTAAGATTTGATTTAGTTCAATCTATGAACCATCCAGATCTCTCAGGTCTTCAGGGACTGGTCAGCTTTCTGTCCCCAGAGTCAGAACTAAACATGGAGAAGCAGCGTTCAGTTATTATGCTCCAAATATCTGGAACAAACTCCCAGAAAGCTGCAGGTCCGCTGCAACTCTGACTACTTTTAAATCCAGGCTGAAGACTTTTCTTTTTGTCGCTGCTTTTAATTGAACTATTCATATCTTAGACTGCACTGTAACTTTTATCCATGTACTTTTTCTTTTAATGTTTATTTTATTAGCTTTTCTTTTTAATGACTGATTTTAAATGCCATTTTCTTAATCTCTTTCATTTTTTGTAAAGCACTTTGAATTGCCGTGTGTTGAAAAGTGCTATATAAATAAACTTGCCTTGCCTTCAATCATGTTTGCTGGAATGAATTTGCCAAGGCTCACACGCAATCTGATGCCATGCAGAGCTCAGACTTCGGGGTGAATCTGAACACCCATTTTAAAATACACACATGCATACACTCTTACTATTTCCCTGTTACATAGAAATTAGACACAAACAGAGCACTTACTTAACAGCCTTGTTGTCTGAGTTAGTCCACCTGAAGCAGAGAGAGAAACCGGTCTCAGACACACACACACACACAGCGCTGCTAAACAAGCCAATGCAGCCTCAGCACACATCGCCTATTGTTTTGCATGCTTGCTAACAAAGGCACTGATAAAGAAAAACAGGTACAGATCCATGCGAGGGCTCACAGCAATATACGCAGTGGATGGTCATGGGAGCAGCACACACAACATTTGTTGGTGGGGATTTCTGCAGATTTGAGGTTAGTTATGGTTCAAACCACAGCCACAAGAGCCTAAAAAGATAGCAACCGTCTTTACCTCCTGTCCTTGGGGTCGATGCTGCTGAAGGTTACACTGTTCACTGGGTAATGTCTCCTGAAGAAAACCCTAGAAGGAGAAAGATACAATAATGTGACACTTTGGCCTAATATTACTTTTGCTCATTTCTGACTGTATGCTTAAGGACCTCTTGTGGTGGAAACAACAAACTTCCTCACTCCTCTGAACCCACCAGTAGGGGCTGCAAGTGATCAACTGCTTTTAGAAGCAAAAGGCAAAGAACAAGCCTTACCTAGTCAGTTCTGGGCAACATGTTGGACTTGGTTCTGGTTCAAAAACTAACATTAGTCAGTAAGTGAGCCCGAAAAAACATCAAGTGTGTCCTGATACATAGTATGTCTTATGCAGTTTGAAAAAGGGCAGAGTTCCTACTGCATTAATCCTAAGAAACGACATGATGATCGCATGACTTCACTTCAACACCTCTAAGCTAAAGGCAGCTACTTTTCTGCATTGTGACGTTTATTAATCTCATTTAGCCTCTTGTTAGCAACTGCTGTTTTTTACCAGTGGGAAGTTTACTGAAGTATTTTATGACGTAGAAAAAAGTTAATCTTGAAAGCTTGTCTAACCACAGACCTTATTTAGGCAATACAAACTTTAAAGAATGATTGACTTTAAGATGAGGGAGTCAGGAAGTGCTACAATGCTAACACATGTTTAAGCTGTAATCCTCCAGGGACTCTGGTACCTGCGCTGGCTGTCAGTCAGCGTGATGCCCTGCGATGTCACCTTGAACTGGACCACGGTGGCAGCGGGACGAGGGTTACGACCCAGGGAGGCATCTGTTGCCTTGGCAATGGCCTGGGGGCCGGTGAGAGACTCTGTTTCCACGGAGTTCAGGTAGAGGACGTTACAGGCTGAAGGGAGGGACAGACAGAGAGGTGAGCATCATGAACACACCTCACAGGGTCCTGTTAGAGGAAGAGAGGGGTCACCTGCTCCTTGTTTCAGCAGGTCAGCAGCCGTGCTGATGTTATTCACCGGGAGAACCTCCGGAGCCTCTCCTATCAGATCTGAGAGGGATAAGAAGCAATCATATCAGATGAAAAGTGCATTTCCTGTCAAATGATTTATACAAAAGTATTACCCAACAAAATAAGCAGGTGATTAATTGATGATACAGATATTTTTAAAGTTGCTCCTGCTTACAAAAAAGTACAAACCTTTTTCTGGGATCTTGAGAGCGGAGGGTAGGGAGATGGGCGTGATGGAGTGTTGGTAGACTAATGCAGACAGGCTCCCTGTGGATGACAGTACAAATATATTACATTCCTCAGAGGTCAATAATGATCTTTCCTTAAGCTGCCTTAGAGCCACTGAGATTTTAAAATCATTTTCGAAAAAACACCTATTCAAAATTCCACTTTTAAAAACTATAATGAAACCTAATATTGTAATACTGTGAATGTTATATTATGTCCTGACTGATACTGTTGCTATACAGTTATACTTTTAAGGTGAGTCATTTTTTATTAGAACTGATTTTTTTATATGTATGAATATGTAGAGTTCTATCCATTTGACAAAAATACAATTGAATATGTAGTAACTTAAAGTGGTTTCTGAATGCATTACATTATGGATAAAAGATGTAGGAAAATGTTATTACTTTATTCGTAACATCATTTTGTCTAAATATAATATTGATCAGGTTGATTGCAATTTTATTTTTTATTTAGTTGACATTGTCAGGAAATGATTACATTATTGGGTGCTGCATGCCCCATTATTGGCTTTTCAATCTTTTCCCATGAGACACAGACATGAAAAGCATTCTGAAGCTTGTTCAGGAAAACATACCGAAGTAGGGCTCGTTCTGACATCCTTTAATCTTGACTCCCCGAGGGCCCGTCTCTATCAGGAAGTGTCTGACCAGCTGTTCCAGAGGGTCGCTCACTGAAACAGCACAGATTCACTTTAAACAAGTGTTATTGTCTACCTACGGACAAAGCAACTGCCACATCAAATGTAATGTAAAATAGCCTGGCTAGTCTGTGGAGAGGAGAGTAGAGGAGAGAATGTAAATATTTTATTTTTAAATGACGCAAACCCTTTTTACCCTTGCTGTTGTGGTTGTTTGCATTGGGAGGGGGTGTAGCCACCTTCAGGGCCAGGCCGTAGGCCCCCTGGAAAGAGTTGCTGTCCCTGATCAGGAAGGTTCCTGGCTCTCTCTCCTTCAGGGCTGCAATTGCTGCGAGAAAACACAACCAACATGTTCATATATCTACTGAAATGAGTCTGATCATAGCAAAAGTACGGAAGCCCTGGCAGGCAAAAACAATTCAGAAAAAGGCTTGTCTAATGGTTTTCTCCGCTCTGATTATTATACACTAGAGCAGGTGGAAAAAAGTTAAATAGTGCTTAAAGAATTTGCATTTTCTTCAAATTTGGTTCTAAATATATAAGTAATATATTTATTAGTTAGTAAGTCATGTAACATTACTGTCATGTTTTGGCCAGAAATGTATTTTAATCTGCCACTTTTAGGACACGTTCATTCACTTAGGTTAGGACATACAACAAGATTCAGTTTCACTTTTTAATTTGAATTAGAAACTAAATGAACCTAGATATGTTCCCCATCTGCGTAACAGGTTTAAATAAAAAAAAATTACACAGTAACCGAAACAAATATGATTTTGAAAATGGATTCTCAATAGAAGAGTGTCCGTACAAACAAAACCTTTAGTCATAATTAAGCAGCTTCTCAGACCTACCTTGCTCTCTGGAGATGCCAGCTTTGTACCAGAACTTTGAACTGTCCTGGACAAACTTCACACTGACCCTGTTCTCGCTCTCCACCGACGCCGCTGCATCATTTTTGCCTAATGGGGCTGCAATCTCCCCCACGGTGGGAGAGAATGTGACATGGTGCTGATGCTGGGTGGTGCTGCCGTTGGAGGGAGTCACGTGTCCTCCAGCTGTCCTCAGAGTTCCCACGCTGTCGTTGGGGGAACCTGGCTGGACCGGGAGGTGGCGCTTCTCTGGCAGAGGGGGCTGGGGGTGAGGCAGCGGGATGGAGATGGTGGAATAGTTGGAGTAGGAGGATGGATAGAGCTGAGGGGGGTGAGCTGAGTAGCAGGGCCTCTTGTTGGTGCCCAGTGCAGAGGAGTGTGCGGCAGTGCTATGCTCCAGGCCTGGGTAGTGGTGGTGTTGGGGTCCGTGCTGGATGTGGTTCGGATGATGGGGGTCTGACCCACTCAACATCAACCTCCTACCCAACGTGGCAAAGCCCGGAACTGGGGTGTCAGAGATTGGGGAGCCCTCCCCGCTGCTGGAGGCCGGCTGTGGGGGTGATGATGAAGCTTTGTTAGGAGATGCAGGAGCAGGCGTTGTGTTCGGGGTCATTGGTTTTTCCGTTTCTGGTTGAGATGGTTGAGAAGGTCCGTTGACCTGTGCTGAGGTCTGTCTGGCGCCTTGGGTTTGGCTCTGAGTCGGGGGCACTGTCTGTTCCCCATTGGACGCTAGAGCAGCAGCTTCTGAAGGATGGGGGGCCTGGACTGTGATGGGGCCAGGTTGTGGGGTTGTACCCGGTACAGACGAAGCACGGATAGGGGATGACGGAGCCTGGCAGAGGGCCTGGTTTGATGTGTTCAGTGTTGCAGAATCAAAAGAAGAAGTGTTCTGCGTCGTCAAAGCTGACGGTGTGTTTGGGCTACAGTGCTGCTGTTGGGGGGCAGTGAGGGAGCGGTCAGGGGGTGCAGTGCAGTGGTTCTGGGGTAGAACAGGTGCGGCTGTGTGTGGTTGCGTGTCTTTGGTTGTCTGCGGTAGCGATGGCAGGTCTGTGCTGCTTCTTTGGCTTTCCAGGGATTCTTGGGCGATGATATCTGCACGATGGTGTCCCTCCTGTGGCTGGGGGGCCTTGTAGTCACTGCTGAGGATGTCTGTGGTCCGGATCTCGTACTCTCTTCCTCCTGGACTGGGGCTTCAATGGACACAAAAGAGAATTACTATCACAGTAATCACCAATGTTTCTAAAAGTTCTTATTTGACATCCTTTTATTGAATCTTTATTCTTATCAAACCCCATGTTCATCTTGCCGTAACCTGCAACTTGTATCTGGATATCGTTGTTGGATAATATACACCTGATGATGAAAGAATGTGAGGAATGGGATCAGCCAGATCAGCCTTCTGAAGGTGGTCTGGCTCTCATTGTGATCAGATCTCTTCCAGGTGTGAATAAAGTCTCATCCAAATCTAAAGAAAGAATGCGGGCCAAGTCATGATAACAAGGTGTCTTATTTATAGCAGATACCAGGCTGTGTTTAAGATGGAGTCAGTGTATTGCCAACAGAAGACATTGGACAACAAGACTATGATGGACATCTTTAAGTACTTCAGACCATCCAAACGTTCCCTTTCCCTGACAGTGAGGATCACTCAAACTGACACTACTGTCCCTCTAAGTGAAAGAGTGAGCGTTGAATACCTCTCCTGTGTGCGTAGCGGGCTGCTGGTGTGTACAGGAGTGGGCGGTCCAGACATGTCAGACGGCGTGGAGCATGGTGCGTGGTTGTCTCTGTGGACCCTTTTAAAGGAACCGTGGGTAATGTGATCTCTCCAGCCCACACTTTCCCCGGAACTACGAAGGCCGTCTGAAAAGGAAGGGAATAACACATTTATAAAAACGTAAAGTCAGTACACACATTATTTGTATATTTGGGGTTATAAGATATTCTTTACTGCCAATGTTTGCTTTGGTGGCAGATTGAGACAATTTGTGAGTTAAGTGTATGGCATCTGTCTAGTTTAGCGTAAATGATTCAGTGCAGGCTGTTGTTGATTGTGGATCATTTATACTCTCTGTTATGGGAAAACACAAGTCTGAAGGTCTCTGTTTCACCGTGACTCACCAGTGTGTGAGTCAGAGCCGTATGACTGCTGTGAGTCCGGATGGTGGTGGTGGTTATGCTCTGCTTGCCCGTTGCTATGGCTGCAGGGCCCTGTCATGGAGGAGGCCGGGGGCAGCGGGGACGTGGACTCGGACTGGTACCCCGAGGCGTAGCCCCTGCTTTCAGACGGCGAGGGCTGGTATGGGGAGCAGGGGCACACCTGGCGGGGCGTTTGGTATCCGCTGCTGCTGCTGCTGTACTTCAGGTCCAGGTGGGAGTGAGCGTTGGACCTCGACGCTTCTGGATAAGCAGGGTGACCCGATGGCAAGGGGTCAAACGTGAAGGCTGGGAGATCGTGACCCTGCGGACCATAGGAGGCTACGGTGGCCCTCCTGTGCCAATATTCGGCCTCTCTGTCCCTCTCCCACAGAAGCTCGGCCTCCCTGTCCCTCTCCCAGTGGAGGGACAACTCTCTGCCTCGTCTCAGCCCAGGATCCCTCTCCCAGTGGAGCTCTGACCCTCTGGGTATCTCTGCCTCCCTGGCTCTCCTAAGCCCCACCTCCCTTTGCTGAAGCTCCGCCTCTCTGTCCCAGTGGAAGCCTTCCCCTTGGTCCAGCCTCAAGCTGTGATAGGCCGCTGAGTCTTCTCTCCTGATGCCGCTGCAAGGGCATCCAGGGGGCGACATACCGTCAATTAACATTATGTCATGGTAGGTCGGGCTGGTGGAGGGTTTGGGGTGGTGGGGGTGGGCATGGTGGAGGCTGTGAGGTGGAGGAGGGGGATGATAGGGAGTGTAGTCGTCTTCCCGACAGCAGAGACGTCCCGGGGCAGACAGAGGGTGATGGAGCGGGAGGTTGTGAGAGTGAAGGGTGAGGTCTGGCGATGGGTAAGGGCAGATGTGTCGAGACGGGGGAGTCTCCGAGCAGGAGCGGTGCATGTAGTGCGGTGGGCCAGCCTGGCGGTCCCACACCAGATCTGGGGGTGGGAGGGTCTGGTGGGGATGGGGGCTGTAGTGCTGGCACAGATCCATGTGGGACGGAGGAGCAGCCGGGTTGGGGCTGGCAGAAGGAGTCGCCCCGTGGTGCCCGTTGGTGCCGGGAGCGCGATCCAGGCAGTAACCATTAGGCATGAGGAGGGTGCGGTCACACCCAGGTTCCGCACAGCGCTGGGACCGGTAACCGTCCCGGCAAGAACACGACCGGTTGAGCCTCAGCGTGCCCGTTCTCTCAGACGGCAAAGAATCTCCATCATCCAAGATGGCGGTCTCTCGTTCTCCATCCCGGTTCCCCTCTATCCCTCCCAGAAGACGTTCAAGCTCCAATCTTTCCTGTCTGGTTGGGGGCAGCGGGCGAACAGGCTCCTCCTTGCGCTCAGGATGGACGGATGATTGGTGCAAATGGTGGGAATTGGATGAGAGGGCGGAGTCAGAACCTTGAGCGATGAGACGATCTGACCTATCCTCTTCAAAGCCCCCCGCCGGGCTGCTGCCATTGGTTGAGGAGAGAGAACCAGAGCCGGGACCTCGACGCTTCTTTATCTGGGCGTACAGACTGCCATCTACAGGACCTCTGGTGTGGGCAATGTCTACTGTAGGAGAGACAGACAGAACAGCTCTCAAACTAAGAGATCTCATTGGCTACACATAAAGAGAGAAATGTGCCTGTCACTTGTAACTGAAACGTCAATGTAATGATGTCTGATGTTTGTTTTTTTCTTAGGGTTTGGCTGTCCTTTCATTAACCCCCACCCAATTGTTGTGCTGTTTGTTGGAGGGATTAAAATGTGGAAAAACGACTGGGCCGACTAAATTAAACTTTTTGGAAGAGTTTAGCATGGGCCAAAGAAGAATCCATTTCATTTTGGAGAGGGGGGGAATACTAATTAGTTTTTACTATCGTTTTTGCGAAATAGACATTTTTGGCTTGGCAAATATCTGCACTTTCTGAGTGCCCAACTAGTTTCTACTTGAGATCTACTAGAAGTCTGTTACTAACTTACTTTGAACTATTCCTTATTAGTAATGCTTGAAATAAGGCTTAGGTTGGCTACTCAGAGAATAATTAGTCTGTTACCTTCCAGGCTGTCCTGGTATCGCTCGTTGAAGTTCTCATAGGAATCCCAGCGGACCAATGGGTCAGCAGTGTTGTAGTCGACAGTGACTGCCGGGTCGTTCTTATGGTACTCACGACCTGGGAAAGACATGTCCAATTTCCATTCATTTGCATTTGTATAGTCCGATTGAGCATTTACATGATATTGTCTTTGACACCTTGGAAATATAGGAAGTGAACTTTAAATCTAGAAAAGGTAATGAGGAGAATTTGAAGAAGAGTGAACCAACCTTTGATTTTCTCAGGTCCAGAAGAGAAGACAAACTCGACTGTGGCATCAGAGGGAAAACGCTCATCTGGGTTGAAGAAAAGGAAATACAAAACAACAGTGTGCTCATGTATATTTTTCTAAAGCTTTATCTACTGAAATGGATTGGAATGGATGTCATTTCCAAGAGGAAATGAGCATTATTATTGTAGCCCTAATCCACAGAGCAGTGCTCAATGGGCCTCCTTTACAGTCTCTGAGGGATATTTGGAGACACTCCCTCCCTGCACACAGTACAACTCACTCTCTATATGCTCACCTCCAGGGAGCTGTAATAGTGTCCAGTATGGGGATTAAGCTACTACTATTAAAGGGTTTATTCTGCCACAGTAATGGGGCCATTTTAGGAAGCAAACCACTGGGAAGACATTCCCACAACAAACATTTCTAAACATTATGACAATCAGTAGTATGATGATTATCCTGCAACAATTCACAAGTTGTGCCCCCAGTCGATTTAAAGGTACAGTACACCTTTAAAAAAAAAAGTAGTGATATTTTTCAATCTAGAACTTTTAAAGTGAGTTGCAGACTGTTCATGAAGCATTTTATTAAGCGATATTAAGCATAAAGATGTCCGCCTTGATACCAATATAATGGGACTAGGTGGCACTCGGCTTGTTGTGCTCAAAGCACAAAAAGTGCATTGGAAAAATTCAACAAATATGTCTATTTTCAAAACATATGACAGAGATACCAAACATAATCCACAGCAGTTTAATGTAGGAACTGTTTTATTTCTACCAAACTACACAAGTACAACTAAGAACTGTGGCCGCCCAGAAGGAATGGGATAGGGTTGATGAATGTAGATCAGTCAAAATATAACAAATAGGGGGAGCTGATATTGTAGGAATTATCCATTTCCTATACAAAAGAGGATTCTAAAACTCTGGAATTTAGGAGGACATTTTTAAAACTGCAGTACATATTCGAATGGGTCCAGGATTAGAAAATGCTCCATATAATATCCATCCATAGAAACTCACCAACACAAGCTTCGTCCAGCTCCCCTTTGCCAAACCACAGCTGGGAGCCGTGGATGGTGCAGGTGTGGAACTGCAGCCTGAACACCGTGTCTCTGTCTGCGCTCTGGACTCGCCTGTGGTAGCATTTGACCTGCAGGGGGCGGCAGAGAGGGAGGAGGGACACAGCTCAGAATGCATGTGGGATACTGACGGGGTAAGTGTTCCAAACTGATTGACACTTACACTTTGAAAATTACTGGATGCACAAAAAGGACAAATTGTGATGCCTTGTTAACAAAACAAATGTGTATTGCAGAGAGGAGATTTGGCCAGTGGTGTTCGAGTTATTTAGATATTTTACTCAAGTGAAAGTAGCGATACTAGTGCAGAAATACTCTGATACAAGCCCTGCATTCAACACCTTATGAGTAATATTACAAAAGCCTTAGCTTTCCAAATATACAAAGTAATGCAGGATGCTGTACAATATGTTATTATATTATAATGATTGGTTTTACCATATAACCGGTGGGATTTTTATTCAATCAAATAAGGGATCAATAAAGCTTTTCTAAAATAATACATCATACATGATTTGTCATTATATTTTGTATTATTAATTTGGAATCTACAAACTGACTCAGGTTATCAAGAAGAAATGTGTGGAGTAAAGAAATGGATTCTGGAAATACTGAAGGAAAGCACAAGTTACTTGGTTACAGTCTACAATTGCATATGGCATAAGAAAATATATCAGTTTATGTATTTAATCAAATTGTTTTTTATTTTCTTTCCATGTGTACTCACCATGATGTCGCCCTTTAGCAGCAGCGCAGGTTCGATGGTCACACAGAGACGCCTGCCTCCGGTCCCCTGAAGGTCACTGTAGACACACACACACACACACACACACACACACACACACACACACACACACACACACACACACACACACACACACACACACACACACACACACACACACACACACACACACACACACACACACACACACACACACACACACAGGTTAAATATCTCCTAAATACAAAGAACGCAAACAGATGCAGTATGTCACCCAACTCCGAAAAACGGATTTATTTTGTTAGCATCATGTCATTGGCTGCTATTCAAATAATTGATTGACAATGGCTATATTCATAACTTGAGATGAGTCATTGAGTTAAAAATTGGATAGAAGAAGAAAAAGGCCCTTTGTGTAATTTCCTCACATCTATCTCTTCAATTACTCTGTGACGGTGTTTCAATCTAAGCTCATTAGGACCAACAAATGATTATATATCAGCCATGTGACTCACTATATGCCAGAAGTGTAGACCAGCTGCATGGACTGGTAGATCTTCAGGAAGGGGAAGTAACCTGGAGGAGGGGGAGAGATATTCAGACATAGTGAGCATTATCAACATGCAGATAGAGGAATGTGCCACCCCCTCCGTCTGGAATTTATCATCAGATTACAGATAAACAGAGGAGTGTGTGTGGGTGGAGGCTGCATGTGAGCTCTGCAGTCAGCAACATAGCTGTGATTCAGCGGGAAAACCTCTCAGAGGAGCACCAAGACAAACAAACAGGCTGGGGAGCATAGAGGGTACTCCTCAGGTTAGATAAGGAGTTGTACTGGTTAGCAAACTGTCCCAGTGTAATACTGATGACTTGGTGTGAACTGAAAAGCAAAAGTGACCTGAAAGAAGATTGGCCTTTTCTATTAAAGGTCCTCTATTACACTATTTTTCAACAATATATTATAGGTCTCAGATATATACAAAACATGTCTCTGAAGTGTTTGGCTTGTAATACCAAACAAACAGATCATAGTAGCATCCCATAAACCCCTCTGTTTCAGCCCTGTTCCAAAAGTGCTGATTCTATGCCATAGCTTTAAATGCTAATGAGATGTTGCTGGTCGCGACCCTCTGAGAAGTGATTGGTTTAAAAAAACACAATGGGTGCGTTTCACTTCGTTTAAATGGATTCCTTGTGGACATTTTTATATAAGGTGTTGGAAAGATTTGGATTTCACAAAATTATAATTAGGACCATTCAGACGTTATATGACAAACCATCAGCAAGGGTAAAGATTAATGGGGACCTATCAAATTATTTTATACTACAGAGGGGCTGTCGCCAAGGTTGCCCGGTGAGCCCATTGCTCTTTGCCATTTTCATAGAACCACTAAGCCAGTGGATAAGACAGAATAACGACATTAAAGGAGTGGACATGGCAGGAGGCGAACAGAAAATATCCTTATTTGCAGACAACGTCCTGATATATCTGACCCAACCAGAGCAATCTTTCCCTGAGCTGATGAAGAGTCTGGAGTCATATGGCTCATTATCAGGTTATAAATTAAATGTTAAAATACAGGCCCTCACATTCAATTATAACCCCTCTCAAGAAACAAGGGAAAAATACAACATTAAATGGGATTCAGATTTCATGAGGTACCTAGGAGTAGATATTCCAAGAGATCTGGAAAAGCTGTCAGAAACTAACTACAAGCCTTTGATTTCAAGAATTAAAGCAGACATAGCAAGGTGGAACCTGTTGCCTTTTCTGGGCCTAAGCTCTAGAATAGACTCTGTGAAAATGAATGTCCTACCAAGGCTCCTGTATCTCTTCCAGACACTTCCTGTAGCAGTCACTGAGAAACAATTCATAGAGTGGGACAGAATGATCTCTAGATTTGTGTGGCAGGGGAAAAGGCCCAGAATCAGACTCAAAACACTAAAACTACTGAAAGAGAAAGGGGGAATGGCTCTCCCCTGCCTCAAAGACTACTACAATGCAGCTCAATTAAGACCCTTAGTATGCTGGTGCAACCCCGACTACAATGCAAAATGGAAGGACATAGAGAGTGACTTGGTTGAAGGAGTACCGTTGCAGGCTTTGATTGGAGATGGGAACTTGATGGGGAACTTGACTGACATGGATCAGGTTGCCACTACAGATATGGAACGAAATGTTAAAGGTAAAAGACTTAAAAGAGGCGGCTAGGTTGTTGAGGTGGTGCGCACATGACTCAGACTTTATCCCAAATAGAGTAGAGGGGGGATTTGAGGGATGGAAGCAGAAGGGACTCACATTTTACTACACATTGTATACCAAGGGGACTATAGAATGCTTTGAAAAGCTCAAATTAAAATATGGACTGGAAAAGCATGATTTCTACAGGTATCTCCAAATACGACATTATTTGAACCAGAAAATCACAAAAGTACATGTAAAAATCATAGAACAAGGCGTGTTGAGGGTATTTGTAGATGCATACAATTCGGAACAGTGTAGAAGGTTAATAGCAAAAATATATAATGGTTTACAGAACTCGAAATTAACAGATACATCCTACATCAAGGAAAAGTGGGAGCGAGAAGCAAATGTTACTATTACGACAGAAGAATGGGGACAAATATGTAAACAACAATGAAAAAAAAAGGAAGATTGCTTAATGACTGTTAAAGAGCTCTTGCCTGCGAGCAAGGGATACATAGCCCTGTTGTGATGTCTTTTGTCTTTTATTTGTCTTTTTTTTCTCTTGTCTACGTATATGTCTGTTTGTTAACCTGTAAGGAATGAGAAATAAAAAGATAATAAAAAAACAAAATGGATTCCTTGCGTCCCTCACTTGCGTTGTTTCCCTGCGTTTAGTCCCTCCCACCAGGGAAGCATGGAGAGACGGAAGGAAACCACGAGAAGCAGGGAAATGAGTTTTAAGAGCAATGGGACGTCCTTTCTTCCGTGCGTGACGTGACGTGAAGCGATGTCCGTTTGTAATGACGCCGCACAGCTGATCGTCTGACAGCAGCCAGATCAGTGCATGCGCTGCATCGTCCAATCAGTGAGCGATACACAGTAAGGGGGCGGGGCGAGTGTCTGAGGATTTCACCAGAGGATGAATCGAGTTCCTCGTTTATCGCTACTCCGTTATCGCTCCTCGGTCCTCCGGCACAAATAAGGCCACTGGGACGCTACTCAAGATGGCGCAGACAAATCAACTTCCGGTGATACCGAGACCGAGGAGCGAGGAAATGAGAAATAAGATAAGTGAAACGCACCCATTGGTGCTCTAGGAGCAGATTCAGGTGATAAGGTGGGCGGTGTTACCTTGGTTTGTTATTGGCTAATGGTTACACAACCCAAAAAACATTGTGACATCACAAAATGGCCAGAATCTAATTAGCTAATTTTCAGACAGGTTTTTATATGAACGGATCAGGAAAAAAAGAGAAAGAATATTTGTTCCTGAAACTTTCAGAATCTCTCAACACATGAACAATTGGATTCTGCATAATAGGTGACCATTAAGTTGTTTTTTAAGGCCACTATAGCCTATAGGACTAAATCATACAGGCAGACATTTACATTTTTACAGGCAAGATTGGTATTCAGTTGAAAGGAAGCAGGAGGTGATGTGTGTTTGGATAATGCATTTGACGTTATTCTGTATTTTGTGGTTATGGCTGATACTTGGGAAGGATCACCAATGAGACAATAAAGACATACATGGCTAAATAGAGAGTGATGGAGCATGGGAAAACAAGAAAAACACCTTGGTAATAAAAGGGTTTTTTTATCTCTGCATTTTTAACCATTAAATCCATCCACACAAGTATTACAAGTCTCCTCAAATATGATTGCTATATAAATAAAGTCCAATCACAGTTTGTAAATGTACTTATCGTCAGTTCTAACCATTTCCTTTTTTTTTGGATCATTTCTTATTTTCATACAAAGGTATAGTTATTCTGTATGTAAAAGGACTATTTCATAATCATAGTTGTCATTAAAACATAGCACGATGAGTAGAAATATTGAAGTAGGCTGAATTGGATATCAATAAAAAAATGGAGGGTCAAATAAGAGAAAGGACACTGTATTTATTTGGTGATTTGGCGAATAGATGAAGAGCTCACCTCCTTCCCCCTGGAAGTTGGGGAGTGACGGGATGAGCACCTGGTGCAGGAAGAGAGGGCTGCTGTTCATCTTGATGGCCCCCGACAGAAGGCCCCCAAAGTAATAGATGTATCTGAAAGAGACAGATCGTTGTGAGATACAAATAAGAGATGAACTCTAACAGATGGAGATCATGGACAAGCATCTTTCAAAGAGAGGAGAAGAATGCAGACGATGCTGTTCTCAGATAGAACGCCAACCGAGTTATCTCCAGAGGAGGAGGACAGCCGAGTCTAAATATTTGAAGCAATCCCGTCAGTACAAAACCATTCTTGTTAGTGTCACATTTCACCTTGCAGCACTAGTTTGACTTTGGGATATATGCTTTATCGCTTGCCCAAAGTTAAATGAAAATATAGATATCAATCAGTCGTTGATTTTCTCATATAAATCACAAAGAAAGAGAATATGCATATTCTCCAAAATGTTAAAACTATTCCCTTGACTATTATCTTTGCGAATGTAAACGTATTGTTATGTTTGATCCTAAAATAATAGATTAGGAACATAGAAATCAAACAAAATTGGAGATATTTATACACTGTCACTGTTGATGACAAACAAATGATGGAGCTATGAGTTTGTTGTTGAGAATATCCAAGTGTTTTTCTACTAAATGTACGACATGGATACATTACAAACGGTTTTACCTACAACTGCCTGCTGTCGTAAATGAAGGTATTCCTAAAAGCATTACCAAGGGCTCCATTATATTCCAGTGTACCAGTGAGCCAGCATGCAAAACACCGGGTCCTGACTCTAAAGGAAGCTAATTGGAATGCGGCCATCATTAATCTTCTTTTTAAGATGTCAAAAGTCTGCTGTGAAAAGGGAAATCCAGAAGTTATACGTATGAAGAGCTTGAAGCTACATTTTATGGTAAATGGGGACACATTTACTAACCTCTACTATGCTGAAGGATAGTCTCAACCCACCACACCCACTACACCCACTCATCGACCCCCGGCCCATTTCCCCTCATTTCGTCTCGTGGCCTCTACCTGTTTTGGGACGGCTGCAGGGAAGAGGACACCTTATCTTCACAGAACTTCCTCATGGCCAGAGTACTGAGAGCCTGGTCCGCCCTACACACACACACACACACACACACACACACACACACACACACACACACACACACACACACACACACACACACACACACACACACACACACACACACACACACACACACACACACACACACACACACACACACAACACACACACACACACACACACACACACACACACACACACCACACACACACACACACACACACACACACACACACACACACACACACACACACACACATTTCCATCAAGGGACTTGCAGCAGAGTGAACACGGAGAGGATACAGCTGGCATTGGACACAGGATGAAGCCGTTTCCACTGTTCCTGCGCTAAATCCACCGGGCTTCATTTATCAAAACGACTGATCAACAGCATCTGAATGGAAACCGTTGTGCCGCAGGTACACACATCACACACGAGACACACTGTTGCTATGTTTTAAGCACGTTGGAAATGTACATGTGAAATGTAATCCGATGTGTTCAATACACTCTAATGTGTGGATGTTTTATGAACATGTCAAATGGTGTTTCTTTGGATGTCTTGAACACACAAACTGAAACACACTCACCCTGCAGAGATCTTGCTGTAGTGCATGTAGGCCGCGATGATCACGCCTGTTTTACCTTTATTGCCCTGCAGGAGGAAGAGGAGGCAAAGTCACGATGTGCAGATTTCATCCTGCATAGTTGGGAGGGTTACTTTAAAAATGTAATCCATTACAATGACTATCTACCTGTAAAGAAAAGTAATCAGTAAAGTACTAATGTTACCTGATTACTTTCTGAGACATTTGGATTTCCTCAAAATTATTTGCAATGTCAGAAATACTAGAGAAAAGAAACATCACAGTATTTTTGTTTAACAAATCAGGTGTCCACCTAATGCATTACAAAGCGGATTTGACCCTTTGCAGATCATTTATATGCACAAAAACCTATACAACACACCACAGGAAAGGGACATCCCCGACAAATATAATAAGGCCTTTTTAACAAGATAATTGGTGTTATTGTGAAGTATTTAAATGCATGTGCTTCATAATATAACATTCCTTGAACTTGAAATGAACTGTAACCGTTATCTGATTACGTCTATGTTTAATGTATCTGCAAGGCAATCCCGTTTGATGTAATCCATAACTCTCCAAAGCATGGTGGTTTGCACTACCAAAGCTTGATTGCTGTCAGTAAGAGACCCCATGGGGACAGGCAAATGAAAAGCTTCCTGTGGTTTCTTTTTTTTCTCTCATTGGGTGCTCCTCAACACATTCCAAAGACATTCCAGCCTCAAATTCCTAATGAGACCCCACTAACACTCCACCTCCACCCTGAGCACAAATGAAAGCCTGTTTTACTCCATGTGTCCCCCAATTGACATTTTTATATCCCCATGTAATTTCTTCTTCTTCTTCTACAGCTGTAGAGAGAAGGGCCTCTGGAGCTGGAAAGTAATGGAGAGTCAGCAGACCACAGAAGCAGTCTGGTTTTAGGATTTAAATTCTCCGGACCAAAAGCAATAAATAAACATGCGGATAGGCCGTGGGAGCCCGGTCTCCCCTCGGTGTTAGCTGCTCACTTTGGTAACGCTGGCACCACTTTCCTGGCAGAATGACATCAAATGACTCACTAAACATGGAGTTCACAGAGTTTCTTGTGGATTGTAGGGTTCATTTTAAGGCTAACTGAATTGTGTGCACTCTTTAATAATGGTTTTCAATAACTTATATTTCAACAGCACTATCTGACTTCATTTGTGATTTAAATAAGTGATGGAGAGATTAAAGCTGAAAACAAGCAAATCAAATCAAATGTCATCGACATACATGTTGATATTAATCCATGTTAGCATGTCGCAGCATCATAAATAAGCATCCAGGTGGCTAGTTGTTCTTCACGGTTATATTCTATTCTATATTTATTTTTATTCTATTCTATATTATTTCTATGTTACTAGCTTTCCGAGTACAGTCATTTAGCATACCTGAGTTTCATTTTAAAGTCCGCACCTATCATGCTATTTTAAGGGATATATTATGGGTCTATATAAAAACATGTCTATGATGTGTTTTGCTCAAAATACAAACAGATCCTGCATTTTAGACATCCCTCATATCCCTCTATTCCAGCCCTGTTAAGAGAAACGCAGATTTTGGGTCCTTGAAAAAAAAAGAGGAGGCGGCGGAGCTAATGCCTGATCAGTATTCTAAATATATATATATATATATATATAAGTTAAATTCTGCTGTGATAAAAGGCCATCCTGTTCTAAACCACATCAAGGATTATTTCTGAAACAGTATGGAGCTCAAATGCTTTTTCTCTCGTGGGTTTATCACAAGGTGAGTTCCTTTTTTTATTTCCTGCTTTTTAAACACATGTGCTCTCCAGTACAGGTTAGCTCGGAGTGTTAGCGATGCTAATGTAAAAAAATACCATATTACGTCCAAAACACGTCAGGCAATGTTTCTGATTGCAACTCTCTGTGGGTCCACCATCCGATATTACGTCAGATCGGCAGCAAATCTGTATCCGCTCGTTCTAACCCCGTTTTAAAAGATTTGGGTATGGAGGAAAAGAGAAAAGGTTTTATTTGCTGACACTGCGTGAGTTCCCCGACACACCGGGGACACACATTTATGTATACAAGACATCAAAAAGTGCATTTGGCATTATAGGTCCCCTTTAATGTTTTACTTTCTAATGTTATGCTACTTCATACTTGTACTTTAACTTTATTTATTAATCTAGCATTTATTAAGTTACTAGTCATTAAAGATTTTGCACAGTTGTTTTATTTTATAAATAAATACAATTAAAGATGAAATAAACATTTGAAAATAGAACAAATTATTTATTGAACATTCAAAGTTAAAGTAAGAATATGCAATGAGAATAAGAGTACTAGTATTGTTGACACTTCTGTCATGGTATTGACAAGAAGCTTTATTCAAAAATAAACTGAGGTATGAACTAAATCCTATTTATTTAACGCTAAAAATATCCTTTTTTTTTAGAATGTATGTGTGTTTTGTACTGTATTGTAGAATTCTCTAACACTGTGGAGACTTGTTGAAATTCCCTTTTCTTAATTCATTTCAGCTGGATGTCCCTCTCCTCCTGAGTTGATTGGAGGTTATTCAGGTCACCTGGTGGTTCCTAATTATGAGCTGAAAGCAGCTTGGTGCATTTCCCCTCTCAGCCAATCAGACTGTCAGGACGACCTTTCCTTTAGGAGGTGGAGAATTACACACCTTCACTTTATGCACAGACAGTATAGAGACTTTTTTGCTGTCTTCATTTCTATTTTCTATTTAAGCTGATTTTGAGCATTCTGTTACCTACTTTGACTGAATATTAAAGAAGTCCTTTGCACTAGTTTACCAGATTTAACTGCCATCTATACAACCGTATATGCTTGCCTAAGGGAACCAGGTCTTATTTTGTTTATAGGTTCACATTTAATCTAATCCCCCCATCAAAATATCTCCTTTTTAATCCAAGAGCAATTTAAAGTAAATGTCTTTTATGAGCACAAATAAAAGTTGTTGTACTTAATACATTATATGGTGCACTAAGTGTTGTTTTTTAATATAAATATCACCTACCCTTAGACTTTGGTACTAATTTCCTTTTTTCTGTTCATTTCAGCTGAGTGTCCCTCTCCCCCTGAGCTGATTGGAGGTTATTAAGATCACCTGTTGGCTCCATATTAAGAGGTGAGAGCAGCTTGGTGAATTTCCCTGCATCAGGTTAACGTTAATATCATTTGAGAGGCATGTTTACATTGTGAAGGCACTTGTAATGTTTAATTTCATGTAGCTGGAACTGGATCCCAGTCTTCCTCCCGATCACCTATAATCTGCAGAATAAATCCCCTACCCAGGTTAAAACAAATTAGCAAATTAGCTATGTTTACAATTCCATATTTATAGCAACAAAACTACATTTGGGAACATCTGCCTGTTTGAAAGCCTGGCAAACAGTGGGTCATCTGTCTAGGGGAAAAAACAACATGGCAGCGAACTCTAACCTTGCAGTGCAGGACCACCACGTGCTGTGGGTCAGAGGTCAGCCACGTCTCCATGGCCTTACATATGGCACAGATCTTATCCAGCGGTGGGGCGTGGAGGTCTGGCCAGCCAAAGTCGTGAACCTGTAGATTGAGATGGAGAAACAGATCATGTTGTTTGAGGTGATTTAATGTAAAGCTGTGCACGGAATTCTCCCAAAATGTGCGAGGACAAAGTCTACCTTCGTGTATAGTCGTGTGATATCGTGACGCCTCTCGGAGAGGTTCAGGAGCTGGAACAGAAACGATGTTAATCATGGGAGTGACAGAATAAAACAAACTGCTTATTTGTGGGTTGCCAAGTATATTTTGTGGCTTCCTGTGTGACTCTATTGTGCAACAAGTTTCTCCAGAATACTCTAAGGAGGGAAGTGAAATCACTGCTGTAACAAACACCAAAGAACTTCTGTAATCACTAACCAGGAACTTGTCCTGGTGTTTGGACTTGAGCATGGCCGCCACCTCCTTCAGGTTCACGCGGTACCTCTGCTCCTCCAGCTTCGGGGGGAAGAACACAGAGATGATCCTCTCGGTGATGTAGGTCAGGTCGAAGTCGTAGTGGCGCTCCATGACTCTCTCCATCACACGGTCCACACTGAAGCTCCTGGACAAGGAAACGCAGAGGGGGGTTGAAAGAGAGCATAAGGTCACGGGTTGTTTGCAGCATATCAACACGAACACACTCTGATGCAAACCTCTGGCTGCATGCATGGATGGAGAGAAAAGGAAAATAGAGGATGAAAGGAAAAAAGAGAAATTGGATACTATGTGTGACATGAAGGAAGCTAACTTGTTCCTACACATGACTGATACTTAACCTTCCTGAAAGGATGAAGAAGGTTGCCATTACTGTGAGGAGGGTAGTATGCAAAGGATAATGGTTTGAGCAAAGTGAGGAGCAGTGCAGATGTGGAAACTCATAGCCGATTATTAGCATTACATATGTTTTCTCTGGAGCAAAGCAATATACAGAAGGAGGAGGCAAATAATATATATTTTCTATAATGTGTTTATGGCTTAGGAACTGGACAAATCTTTCTTGTTCCTTTCTTATTGTATTAATTTCCCATCAGTTAAACCTGAAATGTTCCCATCAAATGTTGTTGTTTGTTGTTGTAATACTCATGTCAGCCACAAGAGGCTGTAATGCACCACCACCATATGCTCTAAATTAAACTAAAAGTAGCACATTAAAATACATTTCTCCCCTTAAGGACTTAAACATTTGCCAATAAAACAAAGTCTACTGCACCTGGAAAGAAACATAAATGCATTTACTATTTTTTCCCCTGGTTGTTCTTAAGTTGTAAACACATTAGATGAAGGTATGTTGATCAAACATGTCTCCCTTGTCTCTCAGTGCTAACATACTTGTTACTTGTACTTCAATAAATTAAAAAAACGTGTTCATTATAAGAAATTAATGTAATGAAGTTTACCTTGGCAGGGTGTTCCTCTGTTTGGTGTAGGTCAGAGACTTGGTGGACCCCTGTAAAAAAGAAAAGATACAGTTGGCCATCCCATTATCCAAATGCATGGTCCATTCAAGCTCAGATGCTTTATTTATTTTCCACTTAATGAACCAGTAAGCCATTTGAACCAAACACAATTTGTGTGGTGTTACAACTTGAAAGATAGCAAGTACAGAGCGGAGTTCTTGGCACCTCACTAAAATGGAGCGTAATGAACAAGGCTGCCTATTAGATCCTCAAAAAAATTGTTCTTGTTATTTTCACATTTTCCCTAACAAGTATGGACATTTTCAAGATGGATAGCATGACACTGGGGATGGAGGGTGAAGACAGAAAATGGAAGATGCAGATAAAAAAGTATGAAGTTGAGGAAGACAAGGAGACAGGATGTGAGGTTTAAGTGTGCTCACCAGGTGCTGGATGTGTCGAGAAGGAGCGGTCCCTCGACGCTGCTGGATGTAAGAAAAGGTGATGGGAAGTAGAAGATAGGAGATAAGGGTGTGAAGAGTAGGATGGTAGGAGGACGTTGGATAAATGGAGGAGGTCGAAAGGAGGTGAGAGAGAGGAAGATGAGGGGGACACAGAGGAAGGAAAGGAGAGTTAATTAAACAAACAGACTAATGGATAAACATTACTACTTCCTGTAGCAACATCAACAGTTTTTTCTGGAATCCAGCAGTGCTCAAACTGTGCTCAAACTGGGTTGAGGGCTCGGCTTCCCAAAAGGAATGCAGCAAGAGGAAACCATACAGTGGTTTTGGGAAGCCAAAGCTCTTAACTAAGGCCAGATAGAGAGGGAAAACTGCACTTATAGACAGAATGCTACTAAGGAAAAGAGATGAAGGAGACTTACCAGATCATTGGTGGGAGCTGGGATGCATGCCGAGGTGACCTGGAACACACAAAGACAGCCACATGTGAATACAAGGTTTGCACACACAGGATAAAACTGCTTCAGGACCAACCCAGTCTCACGGCATTTCGTGTTCACCAACACGATTTGTAATCTATTGATTCGTGTTCACCAACACGATTTGCCCCTTTTTTTTCGTGTTGCACAGCACGATTTTAAAAGCAATGTATTTCTACTACCTGCAGCACGTCTTTTTCTCCGGTCGGGTCGAGGAAGACCAGAAGCTGTGTGGTTCATAAAAACATGTTCTTACTCAATATCAAGCCACAGTTATTGCTTTTATTTGAAATCGTATAATTTCTGACTTTTGTTGCCGTCTGTGAGGAAAATAAATGGGGCTCAGAGCCTCAGAATACTGAAATCTGTATTTTTTAAATCTTTTTTTCCTTCTAATTTGTTATTCTTTTCAAAATAACACACTGTTATTTACTCACCAATAACACAGAATTATCCTTGCTTTTATTTATTGGTTTAATTCCATAATCTCTGGCTTTTTTGGCGTCCGTCAGGAACTGAATTTCAAAATAAAAATAACCGGAAACAGACGTAGGCATTTCGAGCGATTACCCAAGATCCTCAGCTATGGTTTTAAGCTCGTTTATTGGATGTTTTAGCCGCAATGCATGCTGGGATTTGTTGTTTATATGATATGAAATCCGGAAAACATTTTAAAAGAATAAAATAATACTTAATTCCGAGTGCTCTTGCTTTTCTCTTTGAAAGTCATCACATAATGGCATTGTAATACACGGTTCGGCTGCATTGTATATTACAGATCTGCCGTAGTTCTTTATGTATAGAGCCCTGATGAGAAGACCTTTGGAAAAACTGAGAAAATGCCGCCGAAACTGAATACTTGACGTGGATCATAAATATATTCAACAATTAAACAACATCTTCAATTTCTCTTCACACAATACGTCTCCTTGCAGTATCAACACTAATTCGGCTGACTTTTACATTTGATCTAATTCACAGATAGGTTATATTTACACCATAACGGTGCACAGCTGATATTAAAGGACTGTAGTTTTTAAAGATATTACTGATTTTCTTTGAATGTAAGAATGTAAATACTGAGTCTGAAATAGTATAGCAATATGCTGTAAAATTATGTGAAAGCATGCATAAAACTACACATTTTCAGAAAATAAAAGTGTCCTACACTAATAATACAAAGTTATTATGGCTGTGTGTACCTTGTGTGCACCGCCTAGTGGTTAAAGCACGTTATTGAATTATTGTGTTTTATTTGTTAAAAATATTAAGAGTACATACTTTCATAGGGGGAAAGTATAAATATAGAATATAAAAAATCAAGAAGATACTATAAGTGATCTCTACAATAAAACAGTTTAGTGCAGAATGTACAAAGATATTAATAGGAGGAGGTGCAAAACAGAAAAACGAATTAACCTTTATTTAAACATTAAATAACAGATTAAGGTCTTCTTTTAAATAAGAAAAAAACTTTGGGGGTATCTATCTACAGATAAATATTAAGCCTGACAAAGTACTTAACGTCTAATATATTGCTTTCCTGCAATGTTAACTATGTTGAAGCACTTATTTTAACTGATATTATACATATGAATTATACTCTTATGTATGTAGATAGAATAAGAAATGTGCAGAATATGACAGTTTAATGGTGGAGGTACACACATATTGATAGATGTCTTGTAATGCACTGTTGAGGAACCTGTGACCCAAGTGTTTCATTCATTGCATAACTACACCGTAGTTGTGTATATGATATGTCAATACACCTTTGAAAATCTTGAAAGGGATTTGCAAAATAGCCATAATATAGAGTCTTTAATTAACTATTAGTAGAGAATAACGAGTAATGAATATACTTTATTAATTGCAGATACATGTTTAGTCTTCTCAAGCACCAACTATCAAATATCTCTCCTGATTGTTGGCACTTGACAATCACCTTACCTGAATTTTACTCAGGTGTAACTAAAGTCTGATTTAAGGGTTGTTTATATTTCACATAATTAATCAGAATCTGAAAAGTAACTCAAATAAATGCAGTGGAGTAAAAATACCAGGTTAACCTCTGAATTGTAGTGGAGTAGAATTACAAAGTAACAATGAGCTGTCATGTGGGTATTAATGCTGCGCATTATGGACACAAGTGATTTTCACCCATTTATTAATTATATGTTTTACATTTGATAACACCAATGTGTTTAATACTGGCAACTTCTAATTGTGAGAAAAACGAAAACGTTCAGTAGAGACGTCCCATAGAACATTTTGCGAAACACAATAGCCAGCATGTGTAGTTCTGGGGGGGCGTTCGATTCCAGTTTTGGATAGTCTGGCGTGGTTTCGTTCCATTTCACACAGCTGTTTGACGTAACCTTACGGGGACTGTAGTCCTAAACGATAGCTGGGGATTATCGGTAGTGTAGTGTCTTCGGCCATCCTAAACTCAGAAAATGTTGACAATCGCAATGATGCTCGAAATGTCCCTTATAGGCCTACGTCTGTTTCCGGTTATTTTTATTTTGAAATTCAGTTCCTGACGGACGCCAAAAAAGCCCGAGATTATGGAATTAAACCAATAAATAAAAGCAAGGATAATTGTGTGTTATTGGTGAGTAAATAACAGTGTGTTATTTTGAAAAGAATAACAAATTAGAAGGAAAAAAATATTTAAAAATACAGATTTCAGTATCCTGAGGCTCTGAGCCCCATTTATTTTCCTCACAGATGGCAACAAAAGTCCGAAATTATACGATTTCAAATAAAAGCAATAACTGTGGCTTGATATTGAGTAAGAACATGTTTTTATGAACCACACAGCTTCCGGTCTTCCTCGACCCGACCGGAGAAAAAGACGTGCTGCAGGCAGTAGAAATACATTGCTTTTAAAATCGTGCTGTGCAACACGAAAAAAAGGGGCAAATCGTGTTGGTGAACACGAATCAATAGATTAAAAAAATCGTGTTGGTGAACACGAAATGCCGTGAGACTGGGTTGTCAGGACAGAGTCCTCAGACAGGAAGATGGATAAATCCACAAAAGACACTAAAGTCTGATTTAATATTGAAACTAAAGACTTGATACCATTCCCATATTTTTCAGTAAAATATATTGCTTGAGCAGGTAGAAATGTATGCTATACTACAAGCGACAAACTAACAAAACAACTAAAAGCAGTGCTACATTGTCGCTGCTAAAAAAGTTGGCTAATCGCTTGTTAGCAATGTAATATTGTTACGTAGCATATGAGCCTGTTATTGTAGAGCTTACATAGCATTAGCCTCGGTTAGCTAGGCTATTATGTTCCCTTTGCTAACAACAAAGTAAAGAAAATTAGCATGTCACACGGAGAAGATATGTTATGACACAAAACTATTTCAGAGGTTACATAAGATACCTCTTTGGATTTTACACCACAGATGGAAAATACACGATAAATGCAAAGGTGTTTGTTGACTGTTAAATGTTTAAAAGTTAGCTTGTATCTTGGGTGCTAGCTTAACAAGACTGTCAAAGTAAGTGAACGTTCCAGAACGTAACTCTTGTTAAAAGCAAAAGGTGTTTCTAAAAATGTTCAAATGGTTTGAATCAGAAAATACAAAAAAATAAAGTAGTTATCTCTGCCAACGAGGTTATGTTTTTGGTTAAATGTGTTTTTTTGTAAGTGGGGTTAGAAAAAACAACCGGCCCAATTTGATGTAATCAATTCAAATGATTTACATAATTCAACTTGTCCCTAAAAAATGCAGGGGACCAAAACTTGGCATAATAACAACATATATCAAATATCTTAAATACATCAATCAACAACAAACAGTAACTGCCTTAATTAATACTGCCTGTATTGTTGACCAGGAATTTGTAATTGCAGAGAAAATCATAACATGTTTACCTTGTGTCTTAAATCGACTACAGCTGGGACACTGCCCACCTAACATTAGGATATTATTTATATCAGACAGCTCAGCAGTGCAACTTGTTGAGGCCAGACTGGGAGGACTACATGTAGTGACATTTTTAAGAGCTACACAAAAAAGAGGATAAACACTGTCTGTAAAACTACTTAGATGCACTCAAGTGCCACATAAAATACAAGTGCAGCTGATGATTTAGAATTAGAGCATGTTTGTAAAGTATGGGCAAATGAAAAGCCAAATACACCCCTGGAGGAGCACTGAGACAGAAACATACAGAGTGACACATCCAACTCCCATGTCTGTTATAGTAAGCCTACAGGCCAATGAACTGTGACCAAAGGAAGCAGGAGCCGAACAGCAGCCCTAATGAAGGGGGCCACAGTCATGCTTACGTACTCACACACACACACACACACACACACACACACACACACACACACACACACACACACACACACACACACACACACACACACACACACACACACACACACACACACACACACACACACACACACACACACACACACACACACACACACACACACACACACACACACACACACACACACACACACACACACACACACACAGCAGTGTTCCTGCTGCTACATGGCCCTTTTTGGACTGTTTATTTGGATACAGGAAAAGGGCAAGGGCTTGTGTATATCTCATTGTGCACAAAAAGGAAGTTGCACAAGCCCTGAACTTGAGGGTGTGTCACCTCAGTGCATGTGTGTGTGTGTGTTGTACAGTGTGTGTTCTTACTTTAAAATCAAGCTCGGTCTCCTACTTATGCTTGTACGTAACTACGGACATCAACAGGAAGCCAGTCGGACAGATAATGAGCTAAATCGAGACTCGCCTTTTCTGACAGAAGTCGCAGGAAACCGGTTCGCTTTCGGCTATCAAATGACTAACTGGACAATGTTCTTGCATGACTCACTCTAAGAATTAATGTTAGTTTTTTTCCATCTCCACTGGGAAATGAATGTCAAATCTTATCCTGTGTTGTGGTTCTTTATTTATTCCCAGTCTGAACCCAATTTATGACCATGTCCT